CGGAGGGGGCAGCAGCATCAGTGCTTGTACTGTAGTGTGCGGCAAATGATGAACCAGGGGGAAGGACGGCGGGAGGACACCAGGTCTGTGGAAAGCAATGGCGTGTCTGTCATGGGAGCCGCGATGCCCAGGCACGACGAGTAAGCCCCTGCCCTACCCCACAAAGCCCCACCATGCCTCTAACAATGGCCCAGCACCCGTCCTGAATTTTGAAAGGGACTCACCAGACCCCTCGGGCGCCAGGTTGCCGTACAGGATCTGCAGGTGGCCCTCGGTCTTGATGGGGGACTCCACGGGCATAATGACCTGCTGCCCCTCCGCCAGCGGCCGGCAGGTGGCCAGGTTCTCGGCCAGCGTGCGCCCCGTGCAGGTCAGGGTGCTGCCGTCAATCATGTTCTTCTCCAGCAAGTACTTGAGCACGGCGGGCGTGCCGCCCACCTGCCAGGCAGCGCAGGGAGCAAGGATTTGGTGTGTTTGTGGAGGGGGTGAGTGGGGGGGAACTGGGGAGGTGCGTGCAGAGCGTGTGCTTGAGGACTGCAGTTCTTGGTGCAGTCTGCCGGCGGGGGGAGGCAGCGGCACCGCGAGACCAAGTTAGACGGTGAGAGTGGCAGGGAAAAACAGTGACGATGGACCAGGGAATATCTGTTTGGACCACAAATACGATTCCAAGAAACAAAAAACAGGGGGCGCTGATCAGGGTGTCTCAGAGGGTGCAAAAGGCGGTGTATCATCACACGCACGGGGGCGGGCTGCCGCACCACCCGCTTATCCTCGAGCAGCTTGCGCTGTGGCTGTGCGGCGCGGCCTGGCGCGGGCGGCAGGGTGGCGAAGTCGGCCGGGAGCTGCGCGCCCATGCTGGAGCCCATGGACTTACGGCGCGGCGGCCCCCGCCTCCCCTGCTACCCTTGAAACCCCTGTCCCCGCCAGGATCTCTGGTGAGGCATCAGGGGTCCCAGGGTAACAGGGGAGGCGGGGGCAGCCGCGCCGCTGGTCCCTGCAGCATCCGCGAGGGGGCGCAGCCACCGGCCGGCAAACCCTGCCGGCCCGAGCGTCCGCCCATCGGGGATGGGCGGGCGCCTTGCCAGGCCACGCCGGGGGTGTCATGAATGATGATGGCAAGCAAGGAAGCAGGTCGCAGGCCGGGAAACAAGGGGCATGATGCTGCAGCGTGCTAGAGCGTGCGACTCTGCACGAGCTGTTCCGATGTTTCAACAGTGGAACTGACAGGCAGCCGCGGGGCCTGCCCAGCCCAGCATCACCCGGAGACCTTCTGCCGTCCTTTTTCCCCGGAATCTCACGCCATCCCCCCCTTCTCTTCAACACTCACCTTGTGCACATCCTCCATGACGTACTTGCCCGAGGGCTTGAGGTCGGCGAGGAAGGGAGTGCGGTCCGACACGGCCTGGAAGTCATCAAGGGTGAGGGTGATGCCGCAGGCCGCAGCCATGGCGACGAGGTGCAGCACGGCGTTGGTGCTGCCGCCCAGGGCCATGACCAGGACCATGGCGTTCTCGAAGGCGGCGCGGGTCATGATGTCGCGCGGCTTGATGTCACGGCGCAGCAGGTCCAGCACCACGCCGCCCGCCATGCGGCACTCCAACCGCTTCAGCGGGTCCTCGGCGGGGGTGGAGGAGGAGTGGGGCAGCGTCATGCCCAGCGCCTCGATGGCGCAGGCCATGGTGTTGGCGGTGTACATGCCGCCGCAGGCGCCGGCGCCGGGGCAGGCGTGGCGCACCACGTCGGCACGGCCGTCCTCGCTCAGCAGGCCCGCGGCGAAGGCACCGTAGGACTGGAAGGCGGAGACTATGTCCAGCGTGGCGCCGTCGGCGGCGGCGTGCCCGGGGCGGATGGTCCCGCCGTACACCATGAGCGTGGGGCGGTTGAGCCGTGCGGCGGCCATGATGGTCCCGGGCATGTTCTTGTCGCAGCCGGGGAGGCAAACGTTGGCGTCGTACCACTGCGCGCGCATCACCGTCTCGATGCTGTCGGCGATGAGGTCGCGCGACTGCAGCGAGTACGACATGCCGTCGGTGCCCATGGAGATGCCGTCCGACACGCCAATGGTGTTGAAGCGGTAGCCCACCAGGCCCGCCGCCTCCACGCCCGCCTTCACCTCCGCCGCCAGGTCGTTCAGGTGCATGTTGCACGGGTTGCCCTCGTACCACATGCTGGAGATGCCCACCTAACGATCAGGGCAGGGAGGGGGGTTCAGCGCTTCTAGTCGAGTTTTGGCAATGCCAGTCGGGCCGTATGGCGACAGCCGAGTTGGGGTGGGGCTCTGAGCACCGGGGAGCCGACACACGCGGTATGCATGACGATGCGGAGGCAGGGATCGTACCCTGGGACGTCATCCCATGCTCTCCCCCTCCCCGTCCTATAAAAGCAATGGCAGGGCACGCGGCATCGAAGGGTGCAATGCCTGGAGACATAAGTTTCATAGTACGTCGTATCTATTCACGGAATCCACCTGGGGTCGGTTCATGTCCTCCTCATTCAGGCCGGTGGCGTACAGCATCGCCTGGCTCGCGCCCTGAGACTTGGGCTGGGTTATGCGAGCGCTGTACTTGTTCAGGCCCTCGGGGACGGCCGGACGACGAGCCTGAGCAGGGGCATCGGCCACATCGGCCGCTGCGCGAGGCCGCACGGTCAGGCGCCTCAGTGTACGCGCTGGGACCCGACACGTGAGGGGTCCACCGCAACACCGCATCCCCGCCATGAGGCTAGATCAGGCTGGATGCGGATTTCTGAACAGCACGGTGTTGGGTCGATCATGCATGCAGTCCCCACGATGCCGCATTCTAGGCGTGCCACCGCGGTGTGCCACGGCTGGGATGCGGTGGTTCCTTGCAGTACCCTTCCGGGGGCATTTCGTACACACACCCGTGACGGATCCACCAAAACTTGGGCCCAGCGACAGCCAGACACCGACATTGCCTATTCCTTGCCTCATGCTATCCCCTAGCTGCTGCCCGCTCGGGTGAGCCCGGCGGGATGGAGCTCGGCCACGCTCCATCACGGCCAGGCCTTCAAGGTCAGCTGCAGTCCATCGTTGAGTTCCTGCGATCTGAGGGCCTGTATGCCGCGGAAGAGGTTCTCACACGTGAGCTAGAGGAAAGGTTCCCACACAAGGATGTTGGCCAGGCGAGATCAACGGCCTCGGACTCGAGGCCGTCCACCCCAGGGGAGGACGCAGGGCCACTGCGGGGCCTGGCGCCCACCGTGCGTCGCTCTGGGTCCAACAAGGCCCTGGACACAGCCGAGAGGTGTGTTCTGGGGACTGATCGGGGCAGTGTTGTGGTGTTCATGGATGCAGGTGTGGCGTTCCTCGCTGTGCGCCTGCAGCCGGCAGGGGGAAGCCATGGTGCAACCTGCTTGCCGCGCACAGGGTGCTGGAGATTTGGAGGAGCAAGTCTGCGACCACCACCCCATCACCACAAAAGAGGCTGACGCCGGGGCACAGCCAGTCGCCGCCTGGTGTCCCGGCACCTGCACGCCCCCCCTCGCCCCAAGGTGCATGGCTGGCTTGGGGTCCTTGTGCATGGCCCTGCAGGTTGAGGTCAGCCCTTGCCGTGGCTTGCCAGGTGCCCTTGCCTGCCACCTTGCCACTCAAGTGCACCTGCCTCGGCCTGACCGCTGTCGCCACCCGTTTGCCACGCAGGCTTGGAGGCGGATGAGTACACCGACGACGACGACCCGGGCTTCTGGCGCATCGACATGACGGGCCAGGAGTCGGCGTTCGATGGTGCGGGCGCTCTGGCAATGGTTGAGCAGGGCGGGGATTGGGTGTTGCCCTTTCAGCACTTGCGCGGCCACGGCGCGTCGGCTCCGGGCGTGCTCTTCTTCCACCGCCTGGGCTTAGCCGGCGTGCCTGGGGCCCCCAGACCCCTGCACTCTTTCCACCCCTGGCGGCTCACCTACTCTACATCACCTCCCTGCTTCCCGCCCTGTCCTCCCTCCCCACTCTCCCCTCCCTCTCCTGCCCCGCAGACCTGGAGGCTCGCGCGTCCGAATCCTCCTGGCGTGGCGCCTACGCGACCGTGCCCGGCGCCAGCCCCCTCTCCACCACCGGCAGCCTGAGCGAGGCCGCGCCCGGCCACTCCCGCCGCTCCTCCATGGATGCGGGGGAGGTGCTGCGCCGGCTGGGCAGCGGGCGCCCACTGCCCCCGCCGCCCCTGCTCCCCGCCGTCGTCGCGGCCGGCGGGCCCCCCGGTGCCGCCGGCCCTGCCCCTGACCCGCCCTCGCGCAAGGCCTCCTCCTCCCACCCGCTCTCCGCCTCCTCCAGCCGGCGCGGGCTGGCCCCGGACACCGCGGCCCAGCGCCACGCCGGCACCGCGCGCTGGGTGTTCGACCGGGCCAATTCCGCTGGCAGCGGCGCGTACCGCAGCCTGCTGAGCCACCTGGACGGCGGGCGGGGCGGCGGGCGGGGCGAAGGCGCCGGCGGTGGCAGCGGCGGCTCCCCCGCCGCGCGCGCAAGCGGCGAGGACTCGGCGCGTCGCGGCGGCAGCCCGCACCCCGACGCCGGCGCCGAGCCGGGCGCCAAGGGCGCGCTGTCGCCCTTCAAGCGCGAGGACGAGGGCGCGCCCAGCCCCGCAAGCAGTCGCGGCGGCAGCGTCGTCGTGCATGACCCGCCGAATGACCCGCCACACGACCCACCGCACGCGCCCGGCACCGGCGGCGGCTCCGGCGGCGCGGGGTCCGCCTCGCCGGGGTCTGCCTCGCCGGGCCCCGCCTCGCCGGAGTCCGCGCCGTCCGCCGGCCCGCGCGGCGCGGCGTCCCCGCCCCTCGCCAGCCCCCGACTGTGGAAGGAGCCGTCGCTGTCGGCCGCGGGGTCTGCCGCGCCCGGCAGCCCGCCCCGCGCCGACGTCCTCGCCGTGGCCGAGCAGGCCAGCCCCTCGGACGCGGCCAGCAGCCCGCCCGCTTCGAGGGCGGGGCCCGCGCCCGGGCGTCGTGGCCGAGGGGTCCTTTGCCACGCTGCCCCTGGCGGCGCTGGACGAGGCGAGCCCCGCCCAGCCCGCCGCGCGGGGCGGCGCCCGCGCGCGCGGAGCCCTGGTGCCTGCCCAGCAGCCCCGTGCTGCCCGGCCCGCCGGGGTCGCGGGGGCCAGCCGCCGGCGCCCTTGCGGCCGCGCCGGGCGGCGCCGAACCGTGTGCGCCGGATGCGGGCGCGCCGGCCGCTCCGCGCGGCGCGGGCTGGAAGGGCGGCGCGGCGGAGTGCCTCACGCCCGCGCCGGCGGCGGCCGACCCGTTCACCTTTGCGGCGCCCTCGCCGCCGCCCGTGGCCGCCGACGTCGCGCCCGCCCCGGCCATGTTCGCCACGCGCTGGTCCGGGCGCAGCCTGCTGGACGGGCGCGAGGCGGCGGGCGGCGCGGCCTACGAGCCCCTGCGCGTCAACTCCGTGGCCAGCACGGCCGGGCACGGCCGGGGCGGGGGCGGCTGGGAGGCGCCGCCCGCGCCGGAACCCAGCTCCCCCGCCGCGCCCGAGCCCTTTGTGTACGACGCGGAGGAGTTTGACCGCCGATTTGAGGAGCTGAGCCTGCGGGTGGTGCACCGCCGCGGCGCCACCGGGTTCGAGGAGACCAAGGAATTCGACATCCACCTGGACGACGTGCTGGCCGGGCGTTACCAGGTGGGGTGGCACCGAGGAAGGGGGGGAGTGGGGGAGGAGGCAGAGGGGCGGGGCGGGGCGGGCGTCGTGCATGCTGGGGTGCCGCGCCGCACGTTGCAGGCCTGCAGCGCTCTTCGAATGGCCCTACCCGCCCACAAGGAGGTTCTCACCCCCTCCCGCACTCTCTCCTGCCAGGTGGTGGAGCTCCTGGGCAAAGCCGCGTTCTGCCGCGCGGTGCAAGCGCTCGACACCAAGACCGGCCTCCGCGTCTGCCTCAAGATCATCAAGGTGTGGTGGTGGTGGGAGGGGAGATGGAAGCGGGCTCCTGTGTCGGGAATGTGGGAGGCATTGCGTCTGAGGCTCTGTACAGTGACGAGGGGATGGCAAAACCCGGCGCCCTCCAGCCGCCTCTGGAGAGCGCCGGCACCTGCACGATGGGTCGATCCAGAAGGGCTTCGTGCATGCCAGCGCATGTCCCTCTTCACCCCCCCCCTCCCACCAGACCCTCGCCATGCACATTGCTGCCGCTCACCCCCCTCACTCCTCACCCCCCCCCCCACCGTCACCGGCTGGTGCAGAACAGCAAGGATTACTTTGACCAGAGCCTGGACGAGATCAAGGTACTGCGCTACGTCAACGCCGCCGACCCGGGGGATGAGGAAGGCATCCTGCGCCTCTACGACTACTTTTACTACCGCGAGCACCTGATCCTGGTCACCGAGCTCCTGCGCGCCAACCTCTTCGAGTTCCAGCGGCACAACCGCGCCAGCGGCGCGCCGCCCTACTTCACGCGGCCCCGCATCGCCAGCATCGCGCGCCAGGTGCTGCGCTCCCTGGCCTTCCTGCACTCCCTGGACCTCATGCACGCCGACCTGAAGCCGGAGAACATCGTCATGCGCTCCTACTCTCGCTGCCAGGTCAAGATCATCGACCTGGGGTCCTCCTGCTTCCTCACCGACCACCTCAGCACCTACGTGCAGGTGGGTGTTTTGGGGGGTGGGTGGGCGGCGGGGGCTCCCAGAGGTTGGGCAAGGAGCCTGCTTGTTGGCGAGGGCAAGTGTCACCAGATCACCCGGGAATGGAGGATGGCCAGGCAGGGTTCAGGGGGGGGGGGTGTTGATGTGCATGTGGATCGTGCGCCCTGGCGAGGGCGGGCTGGTGTGCCCGTGGATGGACCAACCGCCTGGCCTTCAGGGAAGGATGAATGTGCTTGGGTTCCACTGATCCTGCCACCGCGTCCAGGCCGCCCAGGAGGTTGCCGTGCGCGCTCACGCCCACTCTCTTCTCCTGCCCCTGCCCACAGAGCCGGTCGTACCGCGCGCCGGAGGTCATCCTGGGCCTGCCATACGACCAGAAGATAGACCTGTGGTCCCTGGGCTGCATCCTGGCGGAGCTCAGCTCCGGCAAGGTCCTGCTCCAGGTGAGCGCCGGCGCTGGGCTTGTCGGATGCAGGGTTTCGATGGGGTGTGTGCAAGCTGCGCTGCCGAGCCCGGCGCCTCGATCCAGGGCGACGAAACGTTTCAGCGCCCTGGGCCCCCCCGCCATCGCCCCCCCCGCCCCGTCTCCTCCCCCCACAGAACGAGTCGCTGGTGACGCTGCTTGCGCGGCTGGAGAGCATCCTGGGGGCCGTGCCGCGGCACATGCTGCGCCGGGGCAGGTTCAGCCACAAGTACTACACGCGCGACGGGCGCCTGTTCGAGCGCAACCGCCACACGCACCGCCTGGAGTACCTGAAACCCAAGCGCACCTGCCTGGCACGGCGCCTGCCGGACGCCGACGCAGGCATGGTCTCTTTTCTCCAGCTCCTCCTCCAGGTGTGTTTAGGAGGGGGAGGTGGGGGCCCAAGGTGGGGGCAATGCCGCCCCTCCTCTGGGCTGGATGATGCTTCTCATGTGTAGATCATCCTGGGACGCATGCCTCGCGTGCCAACCCCTGCCCCTTCCAATCCATCGCACAGGTGGACCCGGCCAAGAGGCCCACAGCAGAGGAAGCCCTCGCCCACCCCTGGCTGACCTCGTTTGAGGATGGCGGCTTGTGACCCCTGCTTGGCTGGAAGGGCATGGGCAGGCGTCCGTGGTCCCTGCTCGGCATGCACCTCCCGATGCTGCCCGCTGGGGAGGCAGTCCTCCCCTGATTCTTCCACGTTGTTGTGTGTGCTGTTACACGAGGCCTGCCTGCTGCCGGTGCCAGGGCCACTGCACGTGAATATCATACACCGGTACTCAGATGCAAGGGGAGTCCGCGATCATGTTGCCATCGTCGTCGCCGCACAGATCCATTCCTCCGCGCTCACTTCCTGTACGTGCCCGGCAGGGCGCCGGCAGCCTCCTTTGCCATGGCACACTGCGATCGGCGGGTGTTCGCATCTTGTTGATTGTGCAGAGCGGGCGGTTGAGTGCCTCAGGTGGTGACACCTGCAGCGGTGCATGCTGAAACGATGCCATCCGCCTCCTCACCTCCATGCACACAAAGCCGAGGTTGGACAGGTAGGGAAGCTCCTCGTTGGTGGCACCGATGCATGCTGCATGGAAGAAGTCCTCGCAGCATGTGCACTGGATCATGTCCAGGTCGGGATTGTACTGAGAGGGCAAGTTGGGAGAGGTGGCAGCGGTGAGCACGGAAACCTGTGAAAATCCTTCCCTTAGATGAGCCAGCATTCGACCGCATCACAGCCAGGCAGGTGCTCCCAGCGCATCCAGGCATGCTCTCCCCACAAGACCTCTGCCCCCGGCGCCCATCGCAACTCACCGGCATGTTACAGCAGCAATACACATCGATGCGATCTGGATGGAATGCCCTCTTGGCGGCCTGCTTCAGTCGTAGGGACCACGTGTGTGTATGAGGGGGAAGGGTGGCGTTGCTGCGGTGGTGCTTTCCCTCTGGCAAGCTGGTCACCACAACACGGGGAAGCCTGCAGCCTCCTTTCGCCCCGCTTCACCTTGTATTCGACGCAGGTGTAAAAGCAGGGGATGCCGTCGTCTTCTTTCAATCCATTGGCCACCTGCTCTGTCGCTTCCTGGTGTGACAGTTGACGATGGTACATGAGGCCTCTGCATGCTCCAATCTGGGGAGAGTGGGTATGGAACATGCAGAAGCAAGTCTTCCTGAGGTCCCAAGGCCCTCGTCTCACCGTGTACTCCCCCCTGGTCAGCACACGACAAGGCCCCTCCACTGACTGCACGTTTATGTCATCATAGTGGTCTGAGGGGAACAGCTCATCCCTTCCATGGTAGCTCTGCTGGTTGAAGGGGGTTTTGGTCGGCGCACGGCAGATGCAGGGCCGATATACGAGCTTGCTCCATTGTAGAAGCTGGAGAGGTGACGGGGAATCCCCCATGCAAGCTTTGGAGCTCTTATGAGTTCCCTGCATGCAACAGCAGAATCCAGAAGTGACGCAGGCCATCCTGGCCAGTCCTCACCTTGCGGCCACCATGGGCTTCCTCTGGCCTGTAGTACCATGAAATCGTGATGACGCTGCTGCCGTTCGCCTTCCGTGAACTGATCTGCTCGATCTTGGCCACCTGTACGTAGGTGCAGAGTGGGAAATCGTGGCTCAGCAGGTGCAGGAGCAACATGGTTGTACCCACCTTCAGAGGCCCTTACATATGGCTGGTTGCCGGCAGGAGGGTGAACCAGGATCGAATCTCCAACTGCATCAGGGAGGGACGTGTGTGGGGTATGCAGCTGCACATGCTTTGGACAGGAGTTCCTACTTGGGAGGTACCACCTCTACAAACCTCGGATGCATGAACAACATAGCAGGGCGCGAGTCGAGACGCTCTCACATGCATCAACCTATGTATTTGTGGCCATCCAAGCCTATGAAGAATGTCTTCAGCACCATGTGCCCGCCCTGGATCCCATCGGCTGTGGATGCAGCCCAGAGTCTTGCGACAGGCCGCGCCCAGAGTGCCGCAGACAGCAGCCCTACACGAGTCCTCCGAGGAAATTATCAAGCATATATCAGTCCACGTTGCAGCTTTTATAGAGACCTTGGACCTTGTCTGATATTCTGTGGCCTCATTTTTTGTGAACTGCGAAAGATCGCGCGCACCCAGATCGACGACGAGATGTACGTCTCGTCTCGACTAGGCGTAAAGGCCTGCATTCATTCAGGCTGCTCGGAACAGCAATTATTTACAACTGATCCGTTTGCCTAATGAGAGTGGTAACTTGTTGCGAAAATAGCAAAAGAGCTACTTGACAAGCTCCGTGGGTTCACTCCAAGCACTCATCGATGCTAGTCCTTTATCACGCAACGGAGAGGCGTGAACAATATATACACATCCTCCGATTCAAAGGGGGTTTTCGTGACGTAGTGCCATTATCGATGCCGCTGAATGGTTGCAGAATACCGAGATGGCATGGATTCGGTAGGCCTGCATAGTCCATGACACGGTTGTGAAGGAGGCCCCACGAGGAGATGTTCCTCTTCTACGAACACCGAGGTACTGACGCGGCTGAGGCACCTGAGCGGGTCGAAGGGGCTGAACAGAGATGGCAAGACCTGGCTGCAAGCCTCCATGCCCTCTTGAAGGTGAGCACAGGTCCATAGCCAAGGGGGACACTCGCACATTTAATTCCACAGCGTACTGGCCAGGGCCATCCAGGAAGGCAGGTCAGGGCACCCATCCATGTTTCTCTCCTCCCATCACAGAGCGATCCCTGCCTGCACCTGGAGGCCAAGCAATGGCTCATGAACTCCATCAGTGACCTGGACATGGCGAGGTACGGCCATCCCTCCGGCCACTCGGACCTCCTGGCCCAGTTCATCCCGCAGTGCCGAGCGGACGTGGAGGCCTCCACCTCCGATTTTGCCCTGGCTGCCACACAGGCGATTGTGGAGACGGAGCCTGCCACCCTGGGCCCCGTGCTGAGCCGACACCCGGCCTTCCTGTCCCGCTGCCTGCGGCGCAGGCCCTCCCTGCTCACCTGGTTTGCTGCGTTCCACCCCGATGGCCTCCAGCGCTCGGGAATGGGGGCACAGGCCCTGGCACGCTATGCCCTGGCCCAGCGTGGCAGCGCCTGGGCGCACCTCGTCTGGGCCGGGAAGCACGCGCAGGCACCGGTGGCGGTGGCGCAGAGGCCGCACTACTGGTGCGAGCTGGACGGCGCCGCCAGCGCTGCGGGGCTCGCGGCGCGCGACCCCGGCTTCCTGGCCTCCCCCGAGGTGGAGGGGGCGGTGGCGGGGGGAACGCTGCTCTCCGTGGACCCAGGCTTCTTCGCCTCGGTATGGGAGCAGCAAGGAGTGTGGGCGGGGCAAAAGGAGGGGTGTGCACCCTTTCCATGGAAACGCATGATGTCCTGCCTCACATCACAGGTCATGTCCAAGACTTTAGTGCCCAGCTGCAGTCAAAGTTTGGTCGTCTAGAGATTTTGTCCACCCCCCTTCCGCACAGTGACCTCAACAGCCCACCAGGCCTCTCGCTCGTCGTCCCCTCCACAGGCGCTGCACGCCTGCCTGGTCGACGACCCCGGCGGCCACATGGGCAGGGAGATCCATACCGCGTTGCGTGGCGCCCTCGGTCGCCCGGACCGCTGGAGGGCGCTGACCCGGCGGCTCCTCCCCAGCTTGTCGCCCGAGCAGCTCCTCGCCCTCGTCCGAGGCCTGAGGGCCTCCGCTGCTGGTCTCCAAGACGACGCCCCGGAGGACCTGGTGTTCCTCCACCCAGCCTGGCCGACGCTGGACGGGGCGGTCCTGGCCTCCGCGCTGGGGTGCTCGTCCCGCAAGCTTCTGGCGGCCCTGCAAGAGAGCGAGGAGGTTGCCTCGGTCCAGGGGCAGGTGTGCCTCACTGGGGTTGCGCACTCGTACCTTTCGATGGCCAGTGATTGCCCCCGTCCTGGCAAAGGCGGCGTGGGTAGGGTTGGGCGCCGGCTGTGGACCTTGAGTAACCTTCACCAAGAAGACCCCTTCCCCCCGGTCTCTTCTTCTCCAGGCAGTGCGCCGGGCTCTCGAGGTGGTGCAGGAGGAAACCGTGGAGGGGCATGCCTTCTTGCGCCAGAGGCTCACGCCAGACGCAACAGCGCTGGCGCGGCACTACCTCCTCGGCCTCTTCGCCGCACGCGCCGGGCTGCTTGCCAGCCGCGACCCGTTGGCGGCGCTGCGGGCGGGCGGCCTGACCGTCGGCCCCCTCGGGCAGGCCACTCGCAAGCGGGGGCGCATCGACACGCAAGGGCGCTCCAAGCGGCGCAGGCGACGGCGACGGGGTGATCCCGAATCTGACGAAGATAGCGGCGGGGGAGCGGCTGCCTGGGAGCTGAGCTGGCCGTCGGGCGAGTCCCTGCTCGTGCGCGCCGACACGGCCGTCGACCAGGTCCTGGATTGCGCTGCGATCCTGCTGGCGCGAGACGTCAGGCGCTGCCGCTTGAGGGCGGCGGGTGCTGGGGAGTCTTAGATAATCTGGTGCGACAGGGTTGTGCCCTCCGGAATGGTCCTAACTGCATGCCATGCTCAGAGGTCGTCATAAATCTTACACCAAGGCATGGGCAAGCGGAAAATGGCTGCCACTTTGTAGGAGGAGCAGCAGCGGGGAGGGGGGGGGGGCAGTAATGCCCGTTGATGAAGCTGTACACATGGAGTAGATCTTACTAATATCAAGAGCTGACTAGGCGTGCCCCCTGCTCGTGATAAGGGGACTTGATCTCGTCAGAACAGTACACGGGTGCGGCTTGCACGACGCGTCTCCACCGAACTCATGCATCAGGCCCCTAGCGCCTGCCTCTGCTCTCCCTTGGAAGGGGGTGGGCCCTTCAGCAACTGGCGCAGCGCAGCCTTGAGTGCCTGGAGGAAACCCAGCTCCCGCCCGGCGGCGTCGTGCGTCAGGCCGGCCTGCAGGGCCGCCAGTCGGTCCAGCAGGGCCCGGAAGCGGAGCCCCAGCTTGTGCAGGGCGTCTGCCACCCAGCGCTGCACAGCTGGCGCCAGCTGGGCGCCGCCACGCTGGGCCTGGAGAGTTGGAGGGCGAGGGATGTGGGATGCACGGGTTGGGGGGGCCACGCCAGGGCATCCGCATTGGCGATCAGACGTGCACATGCAGTTGCCATGACAACCCTCTCACCTTGGGCAGGACGTCCAGGGTGATGGTCTCCTCTACCGGTGCCCGGGGGCTTCCGGCCGACTCTGCAATGACGGGGGATGCCACCGCCTGGCGCTTGGCATACGAGGACCAGAGCTCGCCCACCTTGGACTGGTACGCCTCGCCAATGGAGACCACCTGGATGGAATGGCGGCATGTGTGCATTCAAAGGACTGGGGATGCTGTATGCGCAAAACAGGCTTTGCATAATGAATGCAGTTTGGCATGCTTCCTGGTACAATCAATGGGAAACAGAGTAGAGCCAGCGATGTGCATGTGCCGAGGATCCTCACCCTGCGCTTCACGTCGCCCAGCGAGGACGCCTGGATCTCGGCCAGTCGCGTCTGATAGGCAGGGCCGGATGCCTGTAGAAGGTGGTGAATGAAAATGTGGGGGTCAGATGGCAGAGTGCTAGGTCTCAGTCGAGCAGGAGCAGGCTTGCTGCCTCAGCTATGCAAGCAAGGCTGCTCGAGAGCACAAGCCCACAGTCATTCCAGCTCATGCATTCGATAATGCTCGCCTCGGCCTGGGGAGGTGGGACGAGCGGGGCGGCCTGGGGGGGGGCCGGCGCGGGGGTGGGTGCCGCGGCGGCCAACGCAGCAGGCGTCTCAGGCACGGTCTCTGCCAGGGCCACTGTTGGGTGGGCTGCCTGAGGCTCGCTGCTATCTGGGGCGACCTTTGCCGTCGAAGCCACGGGGGCCGCAACTGGCAGAGAGGTTTTCTCCGCCTCGGTGGCATGCTTCAGCACCGATACCCCTGGCGCAGCCTTCCCATTGCTCAGCTGGGGTGCGGACGCCTCCAGGGCTGCTCTCCAGGCAGCAATCCACTCCGCTGCAGGCGGGCGAGTGTCAGGTGCGCCCAGCCGCACCTCCTCCTGCTCCTCCAGAGGGCTCAATTCGATGGGAGCGGCGGGTGCAGCGCTGGGTGCCGCCATGGCGCCGGCAACAGCCGCACTGGGCAGGCGCGTGGCCTCTTGCCTGACGCTGTTAAACGAGCTCCCAAAAGGCGAGGCAACGCCACCGACCGAGGCCAGGCTCGTCTGGCGGTGTGCTTTGACTTGGTAGGTGTGGTACAGGAGGCCGGCCACCAGGGCCGAGCCCGCGAGCAGAGCCAGCATGCTGGACCCTCCCGCATCGGCGGCACTGGTGCTCAGGGAGTAGAGTGCCGAGGGATCGACGAGGGAGGCGGTCACCACCGGCGAGCGCCTGGACCTCCGCAGGGCATGGCGGAGGGGTTTGACTCCAGCGGTCCCCGCCCTGCTCGCGTACAATTGAAAAGCGAGATGGGCGACGCAGACATCGCAGGATCGATGCGTGCTGGAGTGGCAAATAATACACTCGACATGCGCATTGCATATACCTGTGGGCGAAGGGGACGTGTGGGAGGCCCAAAACGGGCCTGGTGCCGACTCCAGACATCGAATTGCTGGTCGCCAGCATCGTGGGCGTACTCGCTGCTCTAGTCACACTAGAAGGCTACCGAACCCTTTTTTGAAATTTTCAACTCTTGCTTCTCCGTCGATCGTGGACCTTTGTGACGATACTGCTTCCGACAGACAAGGATTCTGCTGGATATGCATCAGTCCTTCTTTCCTCCAATGTTCCGTTTGCGAATCTCACACCAAGCTGTTGAGACCGGCGCCGATCCTTCCCCGTCTGCCCTCGGTCAGAAGGGTGCTTACTATACACATCACGTGCAGCATTAAAGGACTGTTGAACCCCTCCCTGCACTGCGTGAAGCGACAGGGTGCAACCATCGAGGGCGATGCCTTCAGCGATGCAGGCTCAGCCGCCGCATGATGTTCTTGATCCGCGGCCTGCTATGGGGCATGCGCGCCTGCATCAGCACCAGGCACAGCAGGGTGAAGCCGGCGTAAAGACCCACGAGCACGCCGATGTCTCGGGTTGTGGCGCCGGCATCGAACCCTAGTGTCGTCAGGTAGGTGTTGCCGTTGATGCCTTCTATTTGGGCATACCCCGAGGCCTGTCGGGATTGGGAATGGGACGATGATATGAAGGCTTGGGGTGCAGGGTGTCGAAGTGAGCGGCAAGTAAAGCTAAATGCATGCTCCATTCCAAGAGGGAAGATTCTGGTCAGATCTACATCCTCCTCCATGAGATGAGAGAAATGCTAAGTTGGTGCAGTGACCATCGTCGTATCATCCACGCTTTGGCCCTCTCCTCATAACGCCCCACCATGAATGTGAAGGTCCGTCCAGTCATTTCATTCGTAATCATGGCTTCAAAAGCGTAAAAGAAGACACTGAGGTAATGTATCCAGCGAAGGTAGGCCGGGATGGAAGATACGTTCACCAGGAAGCCTACATGGTGGGGGTGTGCAGGAGGAACGCGTGAGCAGGTAGAGTTGGGGCCGCCGACTTGCGTCGTGGCACGTCTGTGTAAGGGTTTCACCGGGGCTTGGCATCCTGCGACTGATTGCGTGCGTCAGGGTCGACTCTCGCACTGGCTACCTCTGCACCACCTCTGCGCTTAGCGCCCCGCCCCACCTGTAAACATGATCGAGAACAGGATGATGAAGTTCATCCCAAAGGAGGCTTCCCCTGCCGTGTTTGACGCCACAGTCACCGCCATGGACAGGGCGCCTGCGCGGGATTGGGGGAGAGAAGGAAGTGAGGTGACGGCTGGAGGATCCACGTGCGGGGGAACCCAATGGCAGGCCGTGCTGGGTGGGACAATGGAGCTCACGGATGCTCCTGACCGCACGTCGGTCTGGCACCTGCTGCCTGAGCCCCTGTGAGGGAGTATGGACCCCCGCTCACAGAACCCAGCAGCCTCCCATTCTCCAACGCACAGCACCCTCCCCCCCCCTCAACACCCACACACCGCGCTCACCCACGGCGCAGCTGAAGGTGACAAGGATGAAGAGGTAGGTTGCCTGGTACGCCGCGCCGCCCCTGAATCCTGCCATGTAGTAGAAGGGCGCCCAGTAGAGGATGGCGGGGATGGCCCGCAGGAAGATGGCGTCCAGCGTGAGCTTCGACAGGAGGTAGGCGGAGGGGCGGTAGTAGCCGCCGCGCACCTCGCGTGCCACCACGGCGCGCTCGTTGATGAGCAGGTCCACGGTGGTGAGGGAGGTGAAGGCCAGGAAGGCGAGGGCGAAGAAGGTGCCGCCCATGCGGTTCTGCACGCCCACATTGCTATCGTCCAGCTGCCAGAAGACGAGGCCCGTCACCACGCCCATCAGCAGGCCGATGCCCAGGTGGAGGCGCAGCAGCGTGGGGTTGCGCAGGATGTCAATGGCCGTGCGCCACGTCATCACCGCCAGCTGGCGCGCGAAGCCGGGGCGGCGCGGCGCGGGGCGCGGCTCGGGGCCAGGCGTCGCGCTCATGCCGAACGCCGAGCGCCCTACCTTGCCCGGCTTGTGCGTCGCTGCCGCCGCGGCGACCGGGGTCCAGGCCGCCGCCACGCGGTCCGGGCTGCGGTCTTCGGCCGCGGAGTCCATGTTCCCGCCGCCTCCCAGCGGCGGGGAGTCCGCCGCCGATGGGGACGCCGAGGCTGTGTCCGAGGGCGAGGCGCCGTCGTCAGGGATGCCCTCCCGCGCGCAGCCCCCCTCCACTTGCACGCCGCCGTCCTCCAGCCGCAGGAGCGCCGCGCTGTCCGCCCCCTGCCCCCCCCGCTCAAGCAGCAGGGCCTGGATGTCGGCGGGGTTGCTGGCCACCTTGAGCAGGTGCTCGGCCATGGCGGTGCCGGCGGGGCAGGGCAGGCCGCGACCCCGGAACCAGGCCTCCGCGTCGGCGGGGCGCCCCTGGAACAGCACGCGGCCGTGGCTCATGAGCAGCGCGGTGTCCAGGGCCAGGAACATGTCGTGGGAGGGCTGGTGGAGCGAGGCGATGACCACGCGCCCTCCGGAGGCCACCTGGTGCAGCGTGCGCATCAGGTTCAGGGCGGTGAAGGAGTCCAGCCCCGAGGTGGGCTCGTCCAGCACCAGGATTGCCGGGTCGGTGACCAGCTCCATGCCGATGGTCACGCTGCGGGCGTGGAGGGAAGGGGGGGGGGTGACCGGGGAGGGCTCAAGGTGGGGTGTTGTGCATGAACAAGGTGGAGCATGAAGGCCCATCCCACCCTTTCTCATACATTCCCCCCAACAACCCCTCCGGCCCCCTTCGCCAGCCCCTCACCGCCGGCGCTCGCCGCCCGAGATGCCGCGGATGCGGCCGGCGCCGCCGACCTGCGAGTCGGCCACGTGGCGCAGCGCCAGCTCGTCCAGCACGTGCTCGATGCGCAGCTGGGTCTCCATGGGCGAGGTGCTCAGGGGCAGGCGCAGGAGCGCGGAGTAGCGCAGGCACTCCTGCACCGTCAGCGACGGGATGAGCACGTCGGACTGCGGTACGTAGGCCACGTCGGCCTTCTGCCGCCGCGCGCCGTCCACCAGCACCTCGCCCGTGGTCTGGGCGGAGGCGCCCAGGTCCATGGCCGCCCCCGCCAGCGACCCCAGGAGCGAGGTCTTGCCGCACCCAGACGGACCCAGCACGCCTGGGATGGAGGGTGGTGGGGTGGTGGGGGTGGTGGGGGTGAGGAATGGACTCAGGTCACAGCCGCCTGGCCCTGGGGAGTTTGTTGCGCACGATGAGAGAGTCACAGAAAGCCACCCCTTGCCTAGAACCCTTTCCCCCCTACTATATCACCCATCCCTCCACACACGCACACCCACCAAAACAAAACAAAAATCCTCGCTCACCCACGACCTCGCCGCCGTGCACGGTGCCGGTGATGCCGCCCAGCACCGCCCACTGCCCGCGCTGGCCGGGCACGTCGTGCAGGGACGCCACGAACTCCGCAGCCGCGGCCTCGACCGCGGGGCTCTGCGCGGGCGGCGCGGGCGCCCAGGCGCGGCCGCGCGGCGCGGGCACCTCCGCGTCCTCGCTGGTGTTCACGCCCAGGCGCTGCTTGGCGCGGCGCAGCAGCGCGCCCACGCCGCTGTCCTCCGGATGGGCGTGCAGGACGTGGGAGGTGACCGCGCGGCGCACGGCCTTGACCTGCATGGCCGCGCGCTTCTTGGCCGCCAGGCGCGGGTTCATGGGCACGCTCACGCCCAGGCCCAGGAAGGTGAGCGTGGCCACCCGGCGCAGCGGCAGCGCGGCCGGGCCGTCGGCCAGCGCGGCCAGCGCGGCGGCGTCCAGCGCGCCGGACGCCGGCGCCCAGAGGCGGCGGTGCGCCCAGGCGTAGCCGCCCACGCCCGCCAGCAGCGTGACCAGCGCCAGCAGCGGGATGGCGGCGATGAAGGGGTTGATGCTCAGGTGCGCCACGTCGCCCTCCGGCAGCGTGTCGTTGCCCAGCGGCCGCACCACGGGCACCAGGCACTCCCCCACTGAGCACTGCACGTCGATGGAGGCGATGGGCAGGCCTTCCATGGCGATGGCGCAGGCGCCCCCGGGCTCGCAGGTCATGGTCGCGGTGCCCGCCACCGAGCTCACCAGACCCTGGATCAGCCCGGCGGGGCAGGCGCCGGAGCAGGCGCAGGTCACGTCGCCGCAGTACACGTCCAGCGCGCCCGCGCTCATCTGGCAGGAGGTGGCCGAGCAGAGCACAGGGACGGATGTGGTGTTCAGCACGAAGCCGATGTCGCAGTTGCCTGTCCCGATGGCGCCGCCGGCCTCGGGCGCCGGAGCCTGCCCGGCCTCGGGCGCCGGAGCCTCGGCGCTGGGCGCCAGGACCTGCCCCGCCTGGGCGCCGGTGTGGCACGTGACGTAGGTGGTGTTGGGCGCCACGATGGAGGCCAGGAAGCCGGTGCCCATCTCGCAGGCATAGGACTTGGTGACGCTGTTGGAAGCGTAGGCGACGTCGTGCGAGCACGTAGCGCCGGAGTCGTTGGTGGCGGCGGCGCAGGCGGCATCCGACTCGCACACGCCGCACTGGGGGCCGGAGAAGCCGGTGGGGCAGGAGCCTGCAGGGGGGGAGGCAGGATTCGTTGGGCCGTCTCCGGAAACGCCACGTAAGAGCCCGCGCCTTCACGACATGCAATTGGGCCGGTATGATTCGCCGACATGGACGCAGGCCCGGTGCAGGGCGCATGCCTGCCTCCCTTCACAAGGGTGCGGGCCTCCCCGGCCCCTTCACCCGCCTCCTCACCGGCCACGGCTGTCACGCTGCACACCGCTGCAAGTACTATGGCGAGGCGGATGTAAGCCATGCCGTACATCCTCGGATTAAATGCAAGCAAACCAGGAATTAAACGCGCGTGAGAAGGGGCTGTACGCTGGCTGCTGGGTGGCAATCGACATGTCGTCGCGTTATCCTAGGCACCCACCGGACTCGGCTCCTGTGTGCGGACTGCAGTTCATGAGCTCGTCTAAACCCGCTTGAACCCCTGACAGAGCTTGAGTATTCTATTGCTTGGACCCAGCGCGAGTTGCTTGGTGCCTGGACCACACCTGGATTCCGATGCTCGGACCTCCGAAATTGCATGAGAATAAATTTTTTGCGGGGTCCCGACACGTCATGGTTCGGAGGGGCATCCGGTGGGACACCGAAAGCCGATCAAGGCAGGCTTTTCAACGCTTGTTGGTATTGGAACTATATTGTGTTGTCGTCTATGCGTGCTATTGGTCGCTGAGAAGCAGGCCTCCCCTCGGAGCCTGGGCCCCGCATGAAGGCGCTCCCGAGATCCAGGTCCCAACGAAGTTCTCTCGCAAGTCCAAAACTGTGCTTCAACTGCTATACGCGAACAAACTGGGTGCATTCATGAATGAATTAGCCTTGAATTATAATCTCCAAGGCGGAATCCTGGTCCTCTGGGAATACGGATGATATCTCCAACTTACAGAGCGTGGATCGTATCTGAGACAGCCAGGCTCCTCTGATCGCAGGGGTCGTGGCACATTTTGCACGTTTTTCAAAGCCTCAGACGCGTATTTATTTCAATGGCACAATGCTCTGTGGGAACGAGGCAGATCCCGGACGAGGGGTATTTGTGCAGCCATGACCAGTACTGTTGATCGGGCCAAGATTGTTACTCCTCATATTGGGCAATACTATGACATCCACTTACAAGACAGTTGAGAAGTGTGGCTGCTGAGCTCTGGTAGGGGGAGCGTGCAAGGGCATCCAGCCGCAGCCCTTCAGAAGACCAATCCATTGCCGCGCTATGGTGTGGGACTCAACATCACCAAGATCAGATATTGCTTCCGCCACGGCGGCCCAGCACAGAACCTTGCGCGTCCTGCTGGCTGAGGCGCCACCACCACAGGATCTGTGTGCTCTGCGTTCCCAGGTACAGAGAATGCGGCCGTCCGCGCCGCCCCTCCCTGCGCACGACAGCTAGCGCCCGCGCAGGAGGCTCTCGTCGAGGCCGTCGCGGACCTCGCCACCCATATGCACGACCACGGTGGGGTCGGCGCCGGGCTCAGGCTCCCCACGAACCCGCCCGACGCCGGCCTTCCAGGCGCGCGCCGCGCCGCCCCCTGCCCGGCGCGCTTGCCAGGCCAGCCAGACCAGCACGCCCTTGCCCGTGGTGCCGCGCGGCGTCAGGCGGTCACCGCGCAGGCGGTGCGCGCCGTCCAGCAGCGTGCCCGCGGCCAGGAACACGGCGGCCACAGCCCCCGCCCCGCTGGCGGCGGCGATGAAGAGGAGCAGCGCGATCTGGTACCGCGCGGCGGTGGTGGGGTCGGCGCCGCCCAGGATCTGCCCCGTCATCATGCCCGGGATGGACACGATGCCAGCCACATTCATCTGGTTCAGCGTGGGCGTCAGCGCCATGCGCACCGCGCGCCGCACGCCGTCCTCGGCGGCCTCCCAGCGCGTGGCCCCCGCCGCCAGCAGCGCCTCCACCCGGTCCCGCCCCGAGGACAGGTCGTCGAGGAGGGAGGTGAGGCCGATGGCAACGCCAGAGCAGGCGTTGCCCAGCAGCATGCCCGCCACGGGGATGGCGTACTGCGCGTCGTACCACGGCCGGGGACGGATGACAGCGCCCAGGCCGTAGGCCAGCATGGCGGAGCAGGGCAGGCCCAGCGAGGCCAGCACCTGCCACAGCATGCCGTCATAGGTCAGGGCGGGGCGGGACAGCGCCTCCAGCCCCGCCACCAGCAGCATGAAGGCCAGGTAGGCGGCCGTCACCCACGCGCTGTTGGCCGTGAAGATGGGCACCAGGATGTAGCCCAGGATGGACAGCTGCAGGACCACCCTGCATGGGGCACGGAATGTGGGAAGGTAGGAAGGTATGTGTGTGTGTGGAGGAAGGGGGGGAAAAAGGGGGAACAGGTGGCTGCATGAGTGCACGAAGTAAGCCATCCACCGTGCAAACGGGTTGAACCTCAAGCAAAGTCAATCAGTTCCTCCACCATGCAAACAACCGCTCTCCCTTCCCGGATCGACAGAGCACCAGCCCTCCTTCCAGTCGAACCTGACGGTGGCGATGGCCAGCTTCTTGTGCATGGCCAGGCGCAGCCAAACGGAGACCAGGCCGTTGACCAGGATGACCGCCGCAGCCAGGCCCAGGCGGAAGGGAGTGATGAAGACCGGGCCGCCTTCCCTCTTCCCAACCGGCACAGAGCCGTCATGGTAATCGAAGAGGAGGTGGGAGGTCGGGTCCATGGACAGGGCCAGCATGCAGCCGGTGGCCGTTGCATTCAGCGACTGTGCAAAGGGCAGGGCCATTGCGATCTGAATCGGAGCTGCTGCAGAATGATGGCCGCTGTCGGCGGCAACTGGCTGCTACAAGTATGTAGAGATCGTGGAGTCTCGCCCCCCGCTGGCTCGATTCGGCGATTGAACAGCGAAGAGCGTCTGGGGCAGTTGCGTGCCCTACTCCTCTGCGAAAGCTTTGACTTGCGTGTTAGGCTCGGGCTTCGGCACTCCCGGCCCCGCCTGGCCCTCGGTGCCGGCTGGCAGGTTCAGGACGCGACCACCCACGCGGTCGGGCTGCTGCGGGTCGTGACTGACCCAGACGATGCCAGCGCCGCAGGTCTTGAGCGCACTTTCTACCTTCTCCGCGGAGGCGGCGTCCAGGGAGCTCGTCGGCTCGTCCAGGAGCAGGATGGCGGGCTTCAGGGCCAGGGCAATGCCTAGGGACACGCGCTGCGCCTGCCCTCCCTGTTGTTGTGTGAGGAGTTGGTACAGGCATGATGTGTCATCCAGTCGAGGGGTCCAAGGAGGCTGCCGGAGTGGGGCGTAGGAGGCAAGGTGCCCGGCGCCCCTCCATGCACAGCGCCCAGCGTTCGAATGACAAGACCCCACTTCAGAAGGATAGTCCGCCACCAGTGCCTGCCCCAGGCACCAGGAATGGCAACAATTACAAGGTACACCACACACAGCCGCCCCTCGGCACTCACAGAAAGCTCCTGCCACGCCTGGTTGAGGACCTCTGGCTCGAGACCAAGGCTGGAGACGATGGACGGCAGGTCTCCCCTCTCCCTGCTCCGCTGGGCTGCGAGCTGCTGCAGCCGGAAGTAGTACTGGGAGGGTGTGCCGGGGTGTGCGATGCGCGCCTGGTGCACGTATGTGACGAGGGAGCGCCAACGAGGCAGGCCCCACTTCTCTGGAGGCTGTCCACTCAGGCTGAGGCTGCCGGAGTCGATGGGGTCCAGGCACGCCAGGCAGCGCAGGAGCACGGACTTCCCGACTCCGCTGGGTCCTCGAACGAACAGGATCTCCCCGCTGCGCAGGGAGAAGCTCAGGTTGGAGTGGATGAGGTTGTCGCCTACGCTGCGCCTCAGGTTCCGTACCGCCAATTGCACGGACGCTGGCTCCTCGAGGCGATGCTCAGGGGCCATTATTTTGGTGAGTTCTGACCAGGATCGACCTGGTCAAGGAGTATGGCCCTGTCGCCGGCTCCCCGACCAGCTTCCCACCACCATTGGAGCGTTGCGGCTGGTTGGAGCCATGTGGAAAGACGGGCAGGAAGGGGTCCCTGAGGCCAGAAGCATGTTGTTCACCTCCACAGGCTCCACTGGTGTACATTGTTACATAAACATGATGGTGCATCATCAATGGGCACCCCCTGGGTGCATCGATCTGCCGGCGGCATGCCTCGCCACCCCTGCGCAACATGCGGCGCAACCGCCGCAGGAGGCCCCCGCTCGACTACCCGGCGCGGGCGGGCTCGAAAGCCCGCAGGGAGACGCAGCTCGCCTCGCCATCCACGATGAGCTCCGCCAGGGCCAGGCCCGTGGCAGGGGCGTTCAGGATGCCCCAGCAGGAGTGCCCCGCGGCGACGTACAGGCCCCGCACCCCACGCACCGGCCCGATGGCGGGGGTGCCCACCGGCGAGCAGGGCAGGTAGCACGCCTGCTCCCGCAGCACCTCGGCCTGCGCCAGGTGGCGCGACGCGGCGGCCGCCGCGTCGCGCAGCCGAGCGGGCGCGCCGGCGTCCGGCAGCACCTGGTCTGCGAAGCTCGGCAGGGGCGTGGGCGTGCTGGCGCCGCACACATATACCTCGCCGTTGGGCCGCGGGTAGATCTCCGGCTCCTGGGACTTGCCATCCGTGCCCCGGTACGCTAGGAACAGCGCCTCGGCGGGCAGGCCGCCCGGCGCGGCGTCCGCTAGTATGATGCTGTGGGCCTGCGGCAGGTGGCGTGAGGAGTGGGAGGTCTGGTGTGTGAGTACCAAGCATGAATAATGGGGGTGGACGCCCAGCGAGGGGCGGGCATGGGCCGCCGCTGCAGCGGTTCTAGACACTGGTGTGGGCCTGGGCAGTTTGCTTTCTGTAGTCCTCGGCATTCGCCCACGCTTGGGGAGGGCAGGACTGCGCGTAGCCGCTGCACGACACACCCCGCCCTCCCCCCAAAAAAGAAACACACACCTAACAACCGGCACCCACCTTCTGGCCGGTGATAGCAGGAAGGCCGGGGATGGCGGCCCGCAGGGCCCCTGTCCAAGCGCCCGTGGCGATGATGACCGTGTCAGCCGGCATTGTGGTGGCTGGGCCGCCGTCGCGAGGCTCCAGCCGCACGCCGGCCACCGCCCCGTTTTCCACCACGAGGCCCGCCAGCGTGGCGATGCGCACCTCGGCCCCAGACTCCTCCAGCAGCGTGCGTGTGAACTGCTCCGGATTCACCTGGGAAGGGGGAGGAGTGGGGCCGAAATTGTCCAACGATCTGTAGAAGGGGGCTCCAGGGTGTCCAGCCACAGCTAGAGACAGCCAGGGAACCATGCTGGTCATCCTGATGTAGATTCAGGGCAGACGAAACGCTGCATCCCCTAAGCACGCGATGACACACAACTACCTGGGCGCAATCTTCTGGAGTGGCGATGAGACTGTCCTGGACCAGATTGTCAGCATCCAGCCAGCCCAGGGACGCCGACTTCCGGCCCCTTGCACCTCCCTTCTTCCCGCCGCCGGCACGGAGGCTAACACTGGAATGGAGAAATGAAAAGGGAAGGATTGTTTCTCAATGGTAGCATCAAGGTCCTGACAAGATCAGGATGAGAGTGGTCAGGTCTGTCGGGCAGTTCGAGGCTGGCGCCCTGTCTCCTGTAGTTCCCACTGCCCCATTCCATTGGGTAGATAGCAGTCTTCTCTTGTGGACTAAACCTATTTCCTACCTATCAATAACCAGGTCCCGATGGAAACCCGACCCTCCCTGCATGCAGCCACACCTGTAGGTTGACATGCGCCTGTACCCATACCGCTCCTTGCCATTCAGTTTGTCGGCCAGGTCGGCGTGCAGGGCAAAGCTGGCGTGTGCCAGGGGTCCAGTGGGGGACCCGTCGCACCAGTCGCGCGCCAGGAACCCTCCTGCAAGCAGCAGGGCCGAGCAGCACAGCGTCATGGGGCTGCATGATCTGTGCATTGGCATGGGAGGCGAAGCGATGTTCAAACACCTCGCATGACCCTGTACCCACCAGCTTTGCCGGAAGCTGAACATGCAGGCCCCACAGCGTCGACTACGGTGGGGGTTAGGCCCTTCTGTGCCAGGAAATACGACACTGAGGCACCAATGACCCCAGCGCCGCACACAACGACGGGCGCCATGGTTCAGGAATCGCGACGTGTGGGTCTACCCCCAACTATATGTCTTGCTATGAGGAACAGGTTGCCCCTGCAAGCGCCTGTAATGCTGGGGATGCGAACATGCTGCACATGACGTTGCGATCTACGTGTGGCAGGGCGCGGAAAGGATGCATGATTCATCCCTCCAGGGCGTTTCTTGTATCGCGATTATGGATCGACAGAGAAGCATGTGTGCCTTTTCAACACACAAAGGCTGCATAGTTCCGTGCCTGCAGCAACTAGCCAGGGGATATCGGACTGACGCGGTGGACTCTACAACAAAAGCACAACTGGGCAGCCATGGACGCGTCTGCCAAAGAAGCAGCGCGAAGGAGGTGGCAACACTCCAAGACACTGAGTGCCAGGAATCGCACACGGGGAGGGAAAATCCCTGAAGGCGCTGATCGACAGGGTGGCGGTCCCACCCAGCTGGCTTCCAATGCCGACAGGTGTGCAGGTGGGGCAACAGTCAAGGGTTCAGGTGCTTTTCCGGCGCCCAAGCTCTACATCTCCTCACACGTGACCACAGATACGACGAAGCTGAGCATGCAATGTCCGCCAGCGCTCGTCTTTCCAAGGGAGCTGCCTGGGAGGATCTGATCGCACACTACAGGCACAATGAACCAGGCCTTATGCCTGTGACGCCGAGCAGCCTCATGGAGGAGTACTGCCTACCACCAGCTAGTACTGAGCCCATTGAGGTAAAATGGCTTTGTCTTCTGGGTAGAAAGGCCATGGATGCGGTGGGCAAGGCAATTGATTGTGTCTTGGGCCTCGTGCTACTCCGGACCTCCTCAGGAAAACACCTTTCCGATGATGTCTTGACCATCATGCCTCAAGATTCCACAAATGCACAAAAGAGTCAGTGCATATACCCATGGCAGGATATGGTGTTGGATGTAAAGCATCTGGCGGAGGTGCTCTTCGGCCTGCCTGCAGACGCTTCTCTTCAGCTTGATGGTATATCCCTAGCCGGCCCTTCCCAGCCCGATGACCCAGCAGCAGAAGTACCCTTACAAGACAGAGGCACCCCTGCAGAATGCTCTCCACAGAGAAACACTGCTCATCCGATGAGCGGCGAGGCTCAGCCTTGCAGTGGGTCGGACGTGCCAAAGCCCTACCACGATGCAGAAGCACACGCCCCTAACACCGATGTGCGCGCCCCTTCCACATTTGCTCACGCAGAGGCTAGGGCCCCATGGGAGTTGCGGCACCCAACCTCTGCTGGCATGAAAGCGGACGAAACTGCAGGCGCTCGCACGGTGCACCAACTTGCACCGGCTCAGGCCTTTCCCAGCAACAAGGAGGTGGCAGCTCATGGTGGGGGATCAGGAGCAGATGTCCAGGGTTCTGTAGCTGTCAAGATCAGTGCTCCAGAAAAGTCCTTGGAGGACTGGTTGAATGACTTGTAACACATCGCCTGGAGAACCCGTTTGACGTACTCCAGCACTTAATTGGTCAGACAGCTGCCACAGCTGCAAGTGGAGTGGGGTTGACCAAAGGTATATGAGAGACTGGTGTCACGGGGATGGGATTAGCTCTCACAATTTCACAAATGCGTACTGTGGCTGAAGGGGTGACATGCACAAAAAATCGTGGAGGATGCCTTCCAGCAGCCGCCACTCATCCAAATGAAAGTACTGGAGAATACAGAATTGGCTTGGAGTGAATTTCTGTGACAGCGAAGGTCACAATTCTCCCTGCACTAACCAAATCTTAGTATTCCGGATCGTCCTATCATGAAACCTGTGTAAGGTGGGGGTGGGCGCCTGCCAACAAGCCCACACATGAAGCAGTGCATCTAGCCCTGGGCATACAGATTGCAAGAAGGCAGGTAATGCATACCTACCACTCCATGTATAAAGAATTGTCCTGTCACTGGATGGATGCTCACCGTTAAGCAAGATGGCAGGTAATTGCGCAGGGGAAGATTCCTTGTTCCTTCGAATCCCGTAAGCTCAGTTTTTTCAGGCGCCATGACCAATCAGTGCTTTACGGCGCCATGACTAGCATTTGCCACCCTCTTACCGGACAATTCATCTGCAAGCATGTTTTTACCAATGCTATAATATCTCATTGCCCTGCCCTGCCGGTCGGGGCTGCTGCCACCGGCCGCTCCAGGTCGCAAGCTTTGACTCTGGAGGCCTGGGACCTGGGGCGAGACGTCCTCAGCCCCCACCCCTGAAGTCATGGCCATTCCAATGTTGAACATGCCCAACAAGATCAAGGGGGGCAGATGGACTGTTGCGCGATTCTTCCTTGTGAGCACCGCTTACACGTCCGCCTGGTTGGCCGTCTCCTCCCAGCTGGACTACTTCAAGGACTTGTATGGACCTCAAATCTTGCTGCAGCTCAACATTGCATACTACCTGCCCACAGGTGAATTCGATGCTGTCGTTCATCTCCACATGTAGGTGTCCTACCGCCCCCCCAAGTGCCACACTGCCACCCGCCCACCCCACCCCTGTGCAGTCCCCCTCCTCCTCCTCTCCTCCTTGCTTGATCGGCACCTGGACCGAAAACTGGGTAGGTCGTTGCATCTCTGTGCTTGGTGCCCCCAGCGTCGCCCACGCGGGCCGCTGCCGGCCCGGGCCTCGTGTGCCGTGGGTGAGGGGGCCGGCGGTCTCCCCGTGCGCCTCTTTTCCCCTTTCGTAGTTCCACACTCCCCACCCCTGCAACACGCCAGGCGTGGCACGGAACATATTGCTGCGGCTGCTGCTGGGCCTGGTGGGCTATGGCCTGCTCGCCGCCTGGTTCCCCTTCCAGCCCACAGACCTCAGGTGGGCGAGGTTGGCGGCCTGAGTGTGGGTGGTGGTCTACCACTGCCATGCATTGGTCCCATCTGCCCACTCCATGTTCTCTTCCTACAGAGCCTGTTCCACGGTCCACACACATGCATTCTATGGTGCACCCCCCACACCCCATCACTCCCCCCCCTCCCTCCAAACCTTGTTTCTCCTCTCTTTCCACCACTCGCCCCAACAGCGTCCTCATCATCACCGTGGTGGCCCTGGGCCTCTTCTCCGGCCTGGCCTTCTCCGCCTCCTACCAGCTGGTGTCCCGCTTTGCCAACAAGAATGTCATCGCGCTGGGCATGGGCTGCACCGCCGCCGGTCCCCTGGTGCTGGCCCTGGAGCTCTGCGCTGGCATCGGGCCCCACGCCTCCCACGCCGACATGGTCCTGCTCTACGGCGCGGTGGCCCTGATCGTGGCCGCCGGCGCGGCGGCTGCCGCCTCGCTCGTCGCGCGGCACTGGGCGGCGCTGGATGCCGGCGCGGGCGGGGAGCCGGCGGCGGGGTTCACGAGTGCAGGTGCCGCGCCGGAGGGACCCCGCATGCCCCTGCTGAGCCCTGGGGGCCCGCTGGAGTGCGGGCCCCGCAGCGGGTCGGGGAGTGCGCTGATGCACCCGCTGGTCTCCTACTCCAGCCTGGAGCCGTACCGCACGTACATGTCCACGGACGGGGAGGTGGTGGCGGACGACGGCTCCTTCCACGGCGCCCTGGAGAGGGCCGCGCCGTACGACGCGTGGAAGGCAGACTGCGCGGCGCACGGCGGCGCGGGCCCGGGGGCATGGAACCCCGCCGCGCCGCCCACGCCGCCGGCGCCGGCGGCGGCGGCGTGGGGCCCCGGGTCTCCCGCACAGCAGGTCGGCGCCGGCCGCGAGGTCCTGCACGCCATCCGCCTGCCGCTGACCGCGCACTTTGTCTCCAGCACCATCTCGCTCACCGTCTTCCCCTTCTTCACCTATGTGCCCTCCTCGGGCCTGCTGGGGGAGTCCTTCCCCAGGGTGAGGTGGCGCAGGGTTGAGTGAGGAGGGGGGGATGGGGGAACGGGGTTTGTGCGCGGGAGGAGCTCAGAAATGGGAGAGGGGCTGCCGCATGCTCAGACTGGGCACCCTCGTGCACTTTGATTCCTGCCCACGGGCCAGGCATTCAGTATTCCTGGATGCGTGCAAGCAAGCCCCCTCTCCCCCCCCCTGAAGATCCTCTTCTTTGCCCGCGTCTTTGCCGACATCGCGGGGCGCCTGGCCCCGCGCTCCCGCTTCGCCACGCCCTCCTCACCTCGCGCCCTGCTAGGGGTTGCGCTCTTCAAGCTCGCCTGTGCGTGCGGCGCCGGTGGCATGGCTGTGGGGGGCTGTGCATGTGCGTGCGTGCGTGTAGGGATACCCTGGTGCCAGGGTGTGGTGGTGAATCCCAGGCTGCCCACCGTGCAGGGTTCTTGCCTGCTCGGTGCATGGCCTTCCAAGTAGCCGTGCTCATAAGTTTTGGTACACGGTCAAAGTCGACGAAACCCTTTTCTGACCGCCCCCCCCCGCCCCCTCCCCCCCAAACACACGCAACATATCACCACAGTGGTTCCCATCTTCTTCGCATACCTCAAGGCCCCCCCTGCCTGGCGCAGCGACGTCGGCGCGCTGCTCCTCGTGTGCGTCCTTTGGCTGCTGGGCGGCTGGTCCAACACCAGCGTCAACCTCCTGGCCCCGCGCCTCGTCCTCCCCGAGCTCAAGGGCACGGCCGCGGCCTACATGGCCATCGCCTACCAGACTGCGCACTTCCTGGGGCTGGCCGTCGCGGTGTGCCTGGCCCTCCTCCTGTACGGCGACACCACCGGCCGTCGGCCCCACTGAGCAGGGGGCGGGGCACGGGGGGGGGACCACGCCGCCGGCGAAGCCGAGCGAGGCCCAAGCCACACCCTGCACGCACGCGACCCTTGCTACCCAGGACCATCACTGCTGCTTTGAAACTTTCTGCTGTACTCGGTGGCCCCTGGCCCGGGCCCTTCATTCATCTCGTCACAGTCACGTGCGCTGCGGGCGGCGGGGCGGGGAGGCTGCCCCCGCCGAGCGGTAAGAGCCCCTGTAAACATAACCAGCCGGATGCTGAAGGCCCGGCGTCTGCAGCAGGAGGGTCGCCTGGGGCCTGGGACGGCGCCGCGGGTCGATACCCTCTCGATCACGCGGTGGTCGGGGCACCGCCGGCCTGCAGGCCCTCCTCTGCGGCCACGAGGACCTCGCGACACAGGGTGCCCTCCTCCGTCATCTGCACGGGGGTCTCCAGCGCCTGCGAGAGGGGTGGGTTGTGTCGATGGAGGGGCATCAAGTCGGGTTTGCACATTGGGATGGGGTGATGCATGCCCCCCCACCCACCCCGGCCACCCAGCCCCCCGAAACCCACATGGTTGGTGGCGCGGGGGTCGGCCCCCGCCCCCAGCAGCAGCTCGGCGCAGGCGGCGTGGGAGCCGCGCGCCGCGTTGTGCAGCGGCGTGTCGCCGTCGTCGTCCCGGCTCGCGGCCAGGCAGGGGTCCGAGGCCAGCAGCAGGCGGACGACCTCGGTGTACCCGCCCGCAGCGGCGTCATGCAGCGGGGTGGAGGCATCCGGGTCCCGCACTCCGGCGTCGGCCCCGGCCTCCAGCAGCACCCGCACGCACTCTGCCTGTCCGTACAGGGAGGCCAGGTGGAGGGGGGTGTCCCCTTCCCGGTTCTGTGTAGAAATTAGGAGGGGGGGGGGGGGGGGGGGGCTTTGGGAGGTCGATGGCGGCGTCGAGGCACCGAGGCGCCATTCTTCTGCATGCACAGAGCGGCGCACCGGGTCGTTCAGGCAGGCGGCCACCGCCTCGTCCTCCAGCAGGGCCAGGAGGGCGGCGGCGTCCCCACGGTTGATGGCGTCAGACAGCTGCTGCCGCTCGGTCGCCCCCTCAGCCCCTTCGTTGTCGGTCTCATCCTCCGTCTCTGAGCCGGAGTACACCTGCCACCCCTCGTCAGACTCCCCCTCCTCGTCGCTGGAGGAAGCATGCTGGGGGCCTGGGGCGCCGGGAGCTGGAGGGGTGCCCTGGGGCAGTGGTCGACCCATCGCTTTGGGGGCTTTGCCTCAGCCGCGCCGAGACTGAGTGCTTGCTATATATATTTCGGTGCTTCCAGCACTCGAATCACTGTACATCGCAGCACTCGAACGGCTTCTGGTTACTGGGTCTCCGCCGGTGCAGGTCGATCTCGCTGAGCGCGCTCATCTGCTCTGCGTGCGGGCGGGGTCCCGTGACGACCGGGTGTGGTCGAGTCAGCAGGTTGAGGCAATATGCTTGAGCGGTGCACCGTGCCTGAGCATACTTCTTCCTCGGATCCCAAAGCCACAGGAATCGGAACTCACTCGGCACAGGCACTCTCACACCTCGCCTGTGCACCAGACCTGGGTGTCGTAACTGTGTTTCGTAGGAACCCTCCTCCGATGAGCTACAAAGCGCAACTCAAGGCACGTGGTGCACTGCGACCCGCATGGTAATTTAATGTTGTGTTATTTGCTCGTACCACATCCCACCTTGACCCCTGTTCGAGCAGGGAGTGCAGCAGTTCCTGGACAAGTCGGATGGCAGGGACAAGCTGCTGGCCACCGTGCAGTATGTGGCCATGTTCATCTCCGCTGGCCAGCCAGGCGATGTCAAGAAGGTCCAAGCGTCCGTGGCTGCTGCGCGCAAAGTCTTCCGCATCATGCGGGTGAGGTCGGCTGCCCTGCGGAAGCCTACACTCTCCGCCCCAGTTGGACTACTTGGCTGAATGCGCCCTGATTCCCTCATCTAAGCAGTCTCACACCATTTTCCCCCACTGCAGCCCCTGGAGAGCCTGAACCCCATCATCCAGAACCCCACACTGAACTCCAACCGCCCCTTGGTGCTGGAGCTTCTGGCCAAGGTGACTAGGTCAAGCGCCCCCTCTAACCTGGCCGCGAGGGTTTCCCTGCATGGTGTGCAGGGTGCCTTGCCCGCAGATCACTCAAGCGTCCAGATTCCACGTCATCCCTCCCTCTCCTCTCCCTGCCCCTCAGCTCAAGTCGGTGCTGATGGCCATCTACTTTGGAGGTGACAACATTGTGTGGGCCTCCCAGGCGGGCATCCTGCAGAACAAGACCCTCATCCTGCGGGCACAGAAGGCCTCCCTGTACGGCTGGGCAGGCGGGTCCGTCATCGGCGTCATCACCGAGCTCCATGAGCTGCAGGGTAGGCCTGATGCTTGGGATGGCATCCCCGAGATGGCTGCCAGGGACTGGCAGGGCCGTATTGTCCAAGGTGTTAGTGTTGAATATTTGACTGACGGGATGCACTGAAGATCCTTAATGCTCTGCTCCTGCTCCTGCAGGTCTGACCGCGCGGCGCGTAGGCGAGGTGGAGGAGGTCTACCAGGCGCGCCTGGAGAAGAACGGTGCCGAGATCACACGCCACCTGCTCCTCCTCGTGCACTCCCTGGTCCAGGTGAGGGCACACGCCTGTTTTCAGGCGCCTCTTGTGATGGGACGTGCGACTGCTCTGGCACATACAGTCATCCTTCGCACGATTTCAGGTCCGAGCACAGGATGGTCATTTCCCTACGCCCCCCAATATTCTCTTTGCAGGCCTTGCTGGCGGTGGGCCTGCTGGAGCTGCGACCCTGGAAGCCACGCACGGTGGGCATGCTGGGGATCATCGCCTCAGCTCTCAACTGCTACATGCTGTTCCCGGCCCTCCCCGCCCCAGCCAAGGCCAGCACCAAGTCCTTTGCCAAGGTGGCATGATGCCTGACCTCCCCCGAATCCGCATCAAAATTAGTGATTTATCTCCTTTTCACTAGTCTCCCAGTCACACCCTCCTGTCGCACTGCTTGCATACAAGGTTGTTATACAGCCCAGCTCATACTCTGGCGTCACGTGGGGGCATGATTATCAGGTTGATGTTGGGATCGCTCTGGGTCTTCATCCTCAGGCATCCAGGCTGCAGTCTGGAAACTCGACGGGGCCTGTACCCAGCGCAGGCTATGCCTGCAGCCGACTGCGCACCGACCTGCCAGGGGTTGGCGCCCCCAGCCCACTCTTCGCCGCAGATCTGGACTGAGATCTCGCGGGTCGCGTGAACCTGGCACTGCTCGTCGACCCTGAGTGTGTCTCCAAACCCTCCCCTCCACCCGCCCGCTCGCCGACTGGAGTGAGGGGGCTGGGGCGGAGCCTGGCGTCGGCGGCCACGGGGAGCGCACCCCTTTGACCCCGGGGGGTATCCTCTGGGGGTGCGCTGGCCAGGCCGGTCCCCCCCTGCGGCCGCTCCGCGCCGGAGCACGGCCGCTGGTAGGCTCTCGTCCGGGACAGGCACGCGGAGGCTGGCACAACCTGCCAGGGTGAGACCATTGGGAGTGAATTGTGGGGACGGGTGGTACGCGTCAGCCCACCCATTTGTCAGCCCATTGTCTTGGATGCTGCAGAGAGCATATCGCAGCGAATGAGACCACGCGCAGTGGCAGGGACAGGCGCGCAGCTGTGTGTAACCTGGCAATAACCCTTGCCCCATTTCCATCCAGAGAAAGGAGGACCGCACCTGCTTCCATTGCTCCCACTGCGCCATGGAGTAGTCCATGACGAACTGCACCCTCTCCGAGGCATCGCCGGGCCTGTTGTTGGGGGAGCCAGCATTCGAGGGTGTCGGTGCTGCGAAGGTCACAGACTGCACAAGCGTCCGGGTGAGAAATCGTGCGATTGCTACTGTCCGCCCTCTCCTCACCGCACCTGCTGCCCCTCCCCAGGCAGGGGATGACCATGATGCCCTGCCGCTCGTCCTTTTCGAGGGACACCCTGCGGTCGCGCACCTGCAAGGATAGCAGGGATTGCCAAACTGACTCTTCTATGCATGCCTTCGATAATGTGTGGAGTTCTGCACAGGGGCCTGCCATCCGGAGTATGGCCTCTCATGCCCAGGCAAGCCCCCACCTCCAACTGCACCTGCTTACCAGGAAGGAAAGCGTGAACAAGTTTTCCACTGTCTCGGCAAAGGAGTCGTGGTTGAGCACCAGCTCGATCAGGGGTACCCTGTGATGAGGTAATTTGGCACAGGGTTGGCTTGACCTTGATATAGTATGGCAAGGAATCCCTGCTGCCCGACCTTAATGCATGGGACCATTCGACCCCTCACATCTCTTCCTCACAACCCCCATCCAATCCCAACACCCTCACCTGCCACTTGATGACTTGAGCAGGGTCCACATGTCGGTCATCTGCTGGTCTGTCTCTCGAGCCTCACTGTCGGCCCCGTCATCAATCTCCTCGGGCCGCACAACCTCGCCTGCAGGGAGGTTCAAGGGGGTGGCGCTGGGCGATCCACAGCGTGGCTGGGAGCGGCGCGGCCGCCGGGCTAGAGCGCACCAGGCTGAATGCCGCCACGCGATCACTTGTTGGTCCCCTTTCCCCCCGGGCACCCCTCATGCCTTCACCCTCGGCCTCGCAAAGCATACCTATCTGCACGCGGCGATGCGCCAAGGTCCGTTTCACCCTGGGCTGTGCCTCCAGGGGCCCCAGCATGTGCTTGATTGTGGGGCAGGGCGCAAACATCCCCGCCACGTCCTGACCAAACATGAACCTGCTCAGGGGGAGGGAAGGCTGGCTAGGTGGGTGGGTCCTGGACAGCAAGTCCATTGTCAGTGTGATGCGGAGGAAGCGCACGGCACGGCGCCACCTCAGCCGCACAGCTCACCACTTGAAGGCAGAGGGCTGCATCTCTGCCGCCGCCTGCTGGTCCAGGCGGGTCACGTAGCGCGACCTGAGGCGGCGCAGCAGGTCGTCTGGGGTGCGAGCTTGCTGTGGGTGGGCAGGAGGGGCGAGGTGCCTGGGTGACCTGAGCCGGGCAGACTGCAGCTGGTCAGACACAGCGACACACGCAGTGTGAAGTCGGGACGCACCCCCAAACCCGCACACCATGCCCCAGCGCGCCGTTCCCCTCACCCTCGCGCCCGACGTGAGCTTCCGCACAAACTCCACGCCGCTTTCGGTGACGATGGCGAAGAGCTCCGAGTCCACGGCGCTCTCCCTGGGCTTCTCCACTGCGCAGTGCGGTGACGGTCGGTTGGACGTGGGTCGCCGCGCGCAGGCAGCACGCAGGGCACCCAGGGTGCACACCTCATCTCCAGCACCACCCCATTCGGCGCGTTCACCCGTGTGGTGGAGGGCATTGGCCTCCTTGACCAGCTCCGCAAGCTTGTTCTGGTCCGTGCTGACCAGGTTGTGCTTCTCATCTGCGCGGGAATATAGCATGGGTTGGAATGATTGAGTCAATGCCGTGCAGGAAGCACGGCACCCTCCAGGATGTCCCACAGAACATGCAGCGCCCTACCTACTTCGGGCCTTGCTGATGAGGTTCCTGTACGCTCCTCGCAGGGTTTGGGCAGCCTGGCGCTCCTGCAGGGGTAAAGGAAATGTACTAGATGGGTAATGACGAGCCAAAATACGCTGCTACAGCTGCAGAAGGTTGACTAATCGCACCTGCGAGGCGTTCGGCGCCATACTCCCGGACTAACCAGCCCCAAAAGGGAAGAGGAGCCGTAGCTCTACAGCTTCCCTCTGCTCCAGAGATACTCAGGAAGAGTAGGCGATAGGTATTCAAGATCAATTATGCAGTGCCCATTCGATAGAATACGAGGAGAGCCTCCGTATCTCGCTCGAAATTGCAGCTTGGCCGGGTTCGAAATGTGGGAACGGGGGGGTGGCACACCATCGGAGAAAGCAGGATCGGAAGTGGGCCGGAAACTCCCTCCTCAAAAACACGTATCCGGCCTGAGTAAAGACATCCATTGGGACTGATTGCGATCCCGCATACGCTTTTGAGAATACCACCGTCCAGATCACACATATTCTCCAGCCTCACGCACACCCCTCCTCGCCATCATGGTTTCGGCATGGTGGATGGTGGCACACTACCTGCTGCCCCTGCCGCTGATTCTCTTCGCGCTCCTAGCCCTACCTGGACCAAAGTGAGCTGGCGGTGTAGGTCAGGGTACCAGTGGGCAACCTTGCTCCTCTACAGGAGCCCTGTGTCAAATTGACGGGGTGCCTTCGCTTGCCCGGGTTTCCTGCACGAGGTTTTGCAGCCTGGACTCATGCACTGACCGTCGATTCCCTATTACCCTCTAGGAGTATCAGGCGTGGGATTCTCCTCTTCTGTACCCGGGTGTTTGATCTCCCCTTGATAGGAATATTTAGGCTCCTGCATGTGGCCTTCTTCCTCACCGGGATCGCCTTCTTTGGTAGGTATAGACGTGGGCTGGAATTCCAGCAGGGGTACTATTCTCTTGATTCCAGGAGAGCTGTCGATTGCGTGATGTGAGAATGATCTCCAATATTCAATCGCGTGTGCTTTAACATCGGTCCACAGGTGCCTTCAGGCAGCTGCGTGCCCTGCGTGACCAGCAGCAACTGGGCATCTACGGATCCCCCAACCAGGAGATCGCCCTGCTGTCCAAGAAATGGCGCACGGAGCGCAACCTCTGGTGTGCGGGGCTGCCGGCCGAGTGCTGGACGGCCGAAGGATTGGGGTCTGGTCAGCCTGACGAGTTTCCTTGCTGTGATTCTCGCTGCTGGCAATGCCTTGTGTGTGGCCATGGGCTGAGATGTGCACCAGCCACAACAAGTGTAGCTTCCGCCCCAGTACAGCCCGAGCATACAAGGTACATTCCCTGAGTTAGCACACCCTTCACAAGCCCGTCTCCGCCCACCCACTCAAAGGATCGCGGCGTTTGCCTTTGCCGCCTGGGCCGGCCTGGCCGCCTTCTACCGGGAGACGCAGCGCCGTGTGGCTCTGGAGGACGAACTTCACGGCACAGCCCCCTACCCTTCCACGGGGCGCGGTGGCGCCGGCACGTCGGGCGCAGCCCGTCAGTCACGGTGATCATCTGGACTGTTGCCTGGGGGTCGGGTGGAGGAGGGGCAGCCGTGCATGGAACGGAGGGCGATGCAGTCGCCGGCGACTTTACTATAACCCCTCCAAGCGTGTGCGAGAATCCGAGAGCCTGGTAGGACTCCTCACTCTGGACATTGTACTGCCCCTCTCTCAGACCCGGCAAGGATGCTGCCACGAAGGGCGGAGCCGGCCTGACAGCCATCCCCCTGCCCAAGATCGTCTCCACTGAGAGCGGGGACCTGGGAGTGGTGGAGCCCTCCCGGGACCTTGCCAAGCAGCTGGAGGTGCAGTTCGAGGATGAGCGGAAGGAGCTGGAGGAGGGGGAGCAGCGTCGGCGGCAGACGGATGCCCTCGAGGCCGAGGCGGAGGCCGGGGAGGGGGAGGGCGGCGCCGCCGGCAAGCAGCCCCTGGAGAAGAAGGACGACTGAGGCGAGGGGGCTGAAGGCTGCGCACACATGAGCTGGGCCATGACCATGAACATGGTCTGGGCTGTGCTGACCCCATCCCTGTCATCGGCATCCTCCCTTTCCTTGCGCCGGACGTGTCGCAACGCATGTGCATCGCCCCCGGCTGCCACACCCGCTGCCGTGCAGCACCCTTTTCCTGGCTGTAGTTCTTACCCAAGGTCCGGGGCGTCAGACGATGCACAGCCTGCGTCCACGCTGCAGCAGGGACATGCAGGCGATCGCTGCCGCGTGCGCACCGGTCATGAGACAGAGCGCATGCAGGGTCCGGGGCGGCGTTCTTTCCCCCACCTCGGCACCCTCACACACGCATCAGCCTGCGCCCCGCCGGGGTCACGGCCGGGGAGGGGGCTGCCGGCGGCACCGGGACCTGGGTGGCGGTGATGGCGTCCAGGGAGGCCTGGTCGAAGTTGAAGGGCAGCAGCACCTGGTCAATGATGTGGATGACGGAGGGCCCGCAGGCCAGCAGGTCGGCCTGCAGCACGTTGGCGGAGGAGCCCACGCCGCGGATCACGGGCCCGGCGGTCACGTTGAGCTGGAGCAGGTTGACCTTGTCCAGCGTGGCGGAGGTGGGCAGGCGCGTGCCGGGGGCCAGGGTCCAGGAGGGCCACAGCCCCTTCACCACGTGGTAGGCGGCCAGCGGGTTGGCCAGGTCCGGCGCCGAGTTGAGCAGCGCGGCCAGCGTGTCGGCGTCGCGCACGCTGCCGCCCGCGATGGCCGCGTCCAGCGCCGAGTTGGTGGGCACCAGGAGCGTCGCCTGCGCGTCGGGCGCGTCCAGCAGCACCGCCAGGCCCACGTTCTGCGTGAGAGGGGTTTTTAGGGTGGGGGTGGGTAGGGGCCAAGGAGTGGCGTGGGCGCGCCTGTTGGGCCGGCCTTCCGTGCAGGGGTGCGTCGCGTGGCGCTCCATCACGCTGCCCACCCACCCATCTCAGCCCCCCAACCCCCCTTTCCATTCCTCTTCACCAACCACCAACGCACCGTGAGGACCTGGACCCAGGTGGACACCTCGGGGATGGTCTTGAGGGTGGCCAGGACCGAGGAGCAGTTATCGGCGGAGTAGGCGGGGTCGGCGGCGGCGATGGCGGCGGCGGAGAGGGGGCCCGCCGCGGCGGGTTTCCGCGGCAGCGTCGGCACGTCGGCGGGGATGTAGCGCACGGGGGCGGGGGTCAGCGTGGGCTCCTCGCTGGACGGCGCGCCGGGCTCCGCGGCGGGGGCACGCGCGCGCACGGGCGCCGGGGAGAGGCGGGCGGGGGACGGCGGCGAGCGCGCCGCCGCCCCGGTCTCCTCCTCGGGGGCGGGGGCCAGGCCGGTGGTGGCCGGCTCCGGGAGGGGGGCCTGGAGCTCCAGGGCGGGGGGCAGCGCAACAGTCTCTGCAGCAGGGGCCTGGCCGCCGGGAAGCAGGCTGATGACGCCGGCGGCCGCAGACTCAGGGCCGGGCTCCAGACCGGGCAGGGCCAGCGCCTCCTCAGGCGAGGGCTCCACGGCGGGGGTGTCCAGCACGCTGTTTACGCTGTGGAGGGTAGGTGTGATGAGGGTGACGTGTGGAGGAATGAAAAGAAAAGGGGGAGGAGTTTGATGAGGGGCCAGCCCCAGCCACGAAGCTTGCTGGCCAGCCGACGGAGGCGTAGAACAGCTGCTCCATTGCCACTTGAGACGCAAATACAGGCACCCACTCCATCCCATGCATGCTTGCATGCAGGCAGGGACGACACAGTGCACCACTCACGAGGCCTCGGGCTCAGGAGTCGTCCTGTGAGCCAGGGATGGGTGGTCGAGAGTGTTCACAAGAATCATGTGCATAATCCCAAGGATGGCACCTTCAGGCAGACACCGCGCGGCCCCCTCCCTTCTAGACTCGCGTGCCCTTTGACGCAGAGTCCTCTCACCCGTTGACAAGTCCGGAGGAAGCGCCCCCAAACTGCACGCCGGTCTGAATGTCGCCCAGCTGACCCTCTTCGGTGATGGCGCTCCTGCGTAGAGGGAAAGGTGCGGCGCTCGAAATGTGCTACACAGGGCTGCAGCACAGGGTTGGCATCGCTCGCGGACTTGCCAGTCCAGGGACTCACTGGACGATCAGCGTGTCGCCGCCGCGGGTGATCCTAATGTCCAAGGGCAGGGAAGGCAGGGATGAGGCGTCCCACGCCGCGCCGAACGACCTCGCCAGGGGAGCCCAGTCTCCCTGTGGTGCAGGATTGAGTGAATATAGGGGGGTGAGAGTCCTATGCCAGAGTCCGTGATATCGGTGGGGCTTGCGGAGCTGCCGTCCAACGCAACCACCGGGCGCCCCTTCCAGGGCCTGATCTGAGTGTGACGCTTGCCCCCTTACAGTCCTCTGGCAGTACCTGGGATCCGCTGGTCCGCAGCTCGACGGAGTCGATGGGGCCCTGACCGGCCACTGACAGGAGCACAAGCCGGAGGTAACCGCCCAGCGTGGGCCTAAAGGTGTCGATCCTCACAACAATGTCGCCGGGAGGGGCGCAGGGCACCTGCGGGGCGGTGGGGGATGGCCTGAGCAAGTCAAGTGATAGGGAGCAGCAGGGGATGCTGGTACATTTTGGGCCGTGGGGCCCCTGGGCAGGCTGTGCGGGCCTTGATCAGGCACTCCTCTGTCATGTGGTGCTCCTTGCACCCTCTCTGCACAGGGTCTACACTGAAAGCCTTCCAGCCCTTCCCCCCAAAGCGCCAGATCGCTGCCGCCCAGGACGCACCGCAGTGGCACGGCCTGTTGCCAGGCCGATGCTGGGACTGAAGCTCTTGGCATACGCGGTGGGGGACACATAGATCTGGCTGAGGTCGCAGCCGTCGCAGTTGTCGGTCACGAGCGCAACGAAGGCGCCGGCGGCACTGCCACACACCTGCTGCAGGGAAGAGGGCGCGAGGAGATCCTCTGAGCAGGGAAAGGATGTTCCTCGCAGAGGCGCAGCATGGACGTGCACACTCGTGCTTGGCAAGCTGATGCGGCGCAGCAGGACTCTGGAGGTCCTTGAGCGTCATGGACACAGGCTGTCCGACGACCCTTCCCCTGCAAGCAGATTAAGCCTTGCAAACGCCCTGGGCCACACTGCCCAGTTGCCCCCCAGCACCCTGCAAAACCAACCTCGTCTGTACACTGGATCTCCAGGCAGGTGCCGCACCCTTGGGGAGCGGACCCGGCCAGGAAGGGGCTGTCCGGGTTGACCACGGCAATGGCGTCATACGGCCAGCTTGAAGCGGACAGGGTCCCGTACCCGCAAGCCCCGGAGCCGGCTGGGCTGTCCTGGAGAGACGTGGGAGGGAGCTAGGGGGGTGAGCCGCAGTGGCTTCCTCGATTACCCGGGCTGATCCCGCCGCCCGGGAAGTCTCGCCCCGCACGATCCACCTCACCCCTCCACTAGCAGCACTTCCGACAGTCACAGGTGTCCAGTTCGTCTGGCCCTTCGCCACAGCAAGCAGCGCCAGCAAGAACCCAAGTCTGCGCGAGACACTCATGGTCGCGGGTGCTTCTTGTCGCGGTCTAGTTCAATACGCTCAATAAGCTGTGGGCACTCCAACCCACTTCTAATAACGCTATAATGTAGCGTAAAGTTGTGAGCGGGGGTGCATGTGGCGCGCTGATGCCCCATCAGGTAAAATTCTAGGATGGTCCGGCGTCAGATGCTGGAAGCCTGTTACCCGCCATCTGGTGCCCACGTGATCGGACATGTCATGTCTTTTTCCATGCCGTTGCCGCGTTGAACATTCATCGTCTCCCAGAAAAAACGCACCATTAAAGGCGAACCCACGGCGTGTGAACCACCATTACATATTTTAGAGCAACCCAGCCCTGACGTGCCTCTGCAATCATGACGTACCGTCTCCGTATCTCGCTGCTTCTTGCATGGGCAATCGCGCAAGCATGTCTATCCCCCGCGTCCGCGGCCTGGCAGGGATTGCCCGCTTTCGGCGCGGTACAACTGTGCGTGCCCTATAACGTCCAGGTCAGGCCCGGCACCACCTACGCCCTGTCCGTGGAGGGCGATCAGAGCGTGGCATCTGCCATCACAACCGGAGTCACCGGGAACGTGCTGGCGGTGGGATCCAACGGCTTCACGAGCTCCCAGCCCATCCAAGTCGTCATTACGCTCCCGAGAGACAAGCTGGTGGGGGTGTACCAGAACGGACTCCAGGCCGCTGCCTACGTTGCACCAGGTATTGCCACGACGTTTCATACCGGGCATGGGGGAGGCCACCGAGTGACCAGCCTGCATGGACAGGCATGACGCGCACCCTTGGTCACTTGAAACCCCTCATGGTTTCCAGAAACTCATGACCACAGGATTTAACGGCGGTGCGCTGTCCGTCGTCTCCGGCTTCGGAGCCGGCGAGATCTTCGTCTCCGGAGCCTCCTACAACAGCGTGAATGTCGAGAACAGCGGGTAGGCTTTTCACCAGTGGATGGCTGGCATGTTGTATCCTGCCCGTTGTATGCTGGTTAAATGCTGTGATATGTGTATTTCCGTTGTTGTGTATAGCTTTTGCGCTGCACGTCCTGAGTTCATGCGGTTTCTCATCATTAGATCCCCTCACACTCGCACCGTCGACAGGACTGGCGTGGTCAGCCTGTCAGGGTCGTTCGATGCCGTCAACCTGCAGGCAACCGGCATCACCAACACCTACATTGGCGGTGTGGGCTCATCCGTCAACGTGGGCCTGTCGGGGATCAGCAACGTGTACCTTGCCCCTACGAGCTCAAGCGTCAAGATCACTGGGAGGTGGGTTGAAAAGGAAGGGCGGGGACAGTTGTGCCCATTAGGTGGCGTTGTAGACACATGGGGCTTGGCAAACGGTTCCTGATCCTCATGCCACCACAATGCATACCCTTGCAGGGCTTCGGGCATCTCGTCTGTGCAATACAGCCAGGGGGCCTGCTCCGTGCAGTCCGATTTCCCACTGCGCAGCACTTGCGTGCAGAGTTCGGGCCTGAGCATCCAGGTGTGTGTATGCCTAGGAATTCTTTCCTTGAGTGGGCAGTGTGTGAGTACCTTGTGTGGAGACATGTGGTCCCTTAGAAGGATAATGCTCTCCTTTGCTCCTGGCATGATGGTTGTGCATCCTCCTGGCGCTTGAAGCGTGTTCCATTTAGTGGTTGGGCATGGCCAACCATGCCCTAAGTGTCCTCTCCGGTTTATTTGGTGCAACAGCAGTGCCTAACGTAACCACTCTTTTCTTTCCCCTTCTCCCCCGTCTTCAAACCCAGGTGCCTTCTGAGCCCCAGTGGACATCTGGCCTGACTGCCCGTGGCACCTTCAACTGCGTGGGTTCCAGCGGCAGCACCTCCTCCTCCACCGCCAGCTCCCCCGTGCCCACCCCTGTCCCCACCCCCCAGGCCAGCCCCTCCCAGACCAGCGCCTCTGCGGCTGCCACGGCGGTGAGCAGCCCGGCACCAACGCAGAGTCCCTCTCCCAGCCCGGCATCGCCCAGCCCCAGTCCTGTGTCGCCCTCCCCCAGCCCCAAATCGCCAAGTGGCGCCTCCTGGGCGCCGGCGCCCGAGCCCGAGGCCGAGGCCGGATCCTACAACTTTGCCACCCCCACCCCCGGCGGCTTCCAGTCCCAGTCTGGGTCCACGGGGCCACAGGGCAACAACGCCAATGCGGTGGCCCAGGGCACCAACTCGGCCTCGGCATCCAGCACGGCAGGCCCCGGCGGGGTCAGCACTCAGACCTCCAACGACGGCACCAGCAACCAGCTGAGCACGGCAGGGTAGGGGAGCAAGTCCCGCGCGCAGCGTTTCCTATTCTGTGCATGCATCCTTTCCTAGCGATTCCAAACGTAAACTCTGTGTGAAACCTCATGCGTGGCCCTGCAAGATTTCGCCTGGGCTCCCTCCATGCGTGCACTTTGTCTCTCTTCCCTGCCTCACACTGGACAGGCCCGTGCTCAACCTGACGCCCCACCTCCATTGACTGGTGTGTGTACATGATTTAGTGAGATGTCAGAGGGGGGTGGGTGGAACGATGGGGTTCCAAAGGTGTTTGCGGCATGCGCAGCATTGCAGAATGGTGTTCCTGGGCAGAGACAAGCCGAGCAGACAGCGGATAAGAGAGCGAGCGACATGACAATACAGAATACCAAACAGTGCACGACACTGATTGCAAGCTACTGCTGCTACTGAGACTAGAACTTCTAGATACGTTGTGAAGGTGAGGACATGATGAGCCCCATCAGAGCACTGCGGATGGTGAGGCGAGCGATAGAGAAATCGTCACGCTCCGCCCCATCTCTGGGTCCAGCTCAGCTGCTGCTGCTGCTGGTGCTGCGGGGTCTTGGTAGGCGTCTGCATGGATCTCGGGGGAACTGGGAGCACTCGGACTCCGCCTGTCCTTAGGCACATGCCCAGCGGTGTAGGCCACCACCGCTGTTCCATCTGCTGGGTTGGAGTCCCGGCAGGAATGATTTTAAGCATAAGAGCGAAGGCTTGGAGATTAAAAATAAGTACATTGAACTGAAACGGTATCATCAATCAACCATGATGAAACTCCCAGAGTCATTTCCACCCACAGCATACCAGGGTTAACAACGAGCATTGGTACACGGCTCTGGATGCCTTTGCTCATCATGTGTGCCACCATCGCTCTTCGACGCTCGAGTTCCGCCAGATTGAATGCGCGCTGCTTCCTGGAGGGACTCGGGGGAATGGCCTCCTACTTCGTAACCCCCGGCACATACCGAAACGGTCACCACACGACCCACGTACGCCATCGCACGGCAACACCGACCTACCTGCAGGAATACCACAGCAATGTACCAATGATGGCGAAGACGATGAGGAGAACGATGCCGCCGATTGCGAAACTGCCGAGGTCGGGGCTGTTGCTGCCTGGGAGGCGGGAGAATGAGTTGAGGATGAAAGCCTGTCCTTTGCACATATCCTTCGTAGCCAACGAACACAAATACTTACACGGAAGTGTCAACGTCACCGCGGGAGCTTCCCATCCGGTGTCACCTGAACTCATCCTTCGTCGATCCCGGAAGACGAGGCACCCGGCGACCAAGCGGGTCACCGGGGTGGGCGGCCTCCGGTCAGATGGTCGGGAGACCAGAAACTCACGAGAATGAGTTATTCCCACATTTGCAATCGGCACTGCCCCTTCTGGGATGGCAGGACACCTGTCAGCAGTGAATTCGGAACTCGAGCATGGCGCCAAGATATGACGACACGCAGCACCCTCAGCATGGAAACCCCCCACCATCAATCTGGAACTCAGGTACTCGACATTCAGGGAGATTAATGTCCTCAAGCCTCGTCCAGCAACCTGGGCATCGGTATTCTTCAAGCCGGCGCTGAAGTCTACCTATGCAGAGAGCTGCCGAAGACTCCTGGCAAAGAATTGTCCGAATCGCATTTGAAAGCTACCCATTTCTGAAAAGCATCCCGCAGATATCGACGCACCGGCAATCATTGGACATACAGCCCATGCATTGCCGGCATGATTTGTCGATGACGACTGCTTTCCATTCATCCATGCATCAGCGGTGCGATGTGCTCTAAAACGGGAGCATGCGCTCATTCACGGCACGCGCCACGTACACTTGCGACGGACACAAGAAGCTCCGGCACAATCGCAAGTGGCTGGACGGCTTCCTGAACATCTCGGAGACCACCGTCGCGCTCCTGAATGAGGACAGGTCGTCCGTGCTGGGATCATGTCGCCCGGATGGTCCCACTCGAGCCTCCCTGCTAGAGGGGGAGGAGGTGCTGCTGGTCAACCCCAGCATTCTCGTGGTCATGGACACCAGTCCTGGGCTGCCAGACCCACCTCGAACGGATGGGACTGGTCCATCTACCGCCAGCAACGGCAGCATCTCAAAACCCAGGCTCCAGGCAAAGGCGCGCGTCCGTGTGCGTCCGAACCCGGTCTTGTACCTCCCCGAGCCTGGGGACAGCCCTGGCGCACAAGGGCATGTCCAGGAGTCTGCAGCGCCATGCCTTGCTCATCAAGGTACGGATTAGGGGGCCGTGGCTGCGTTGGTACCTCGTCATGCATGGCCCAGACAGGCCCACAATCGACTGTTAATGATACATAGCCAGGACCCGTGTCCCCCTTGCAGGCCACCCTCTCGGCAGTGAAGAGAACCTCCACCCTGCAGGCTCGCTGCCTCGGCGAGAGGCACAGCCGGGTGCGCCGAGCCTACAGGCAAAGATCCTCCTCCCCTCTACCGCGCAAGCGCAAAGCGGTGTGAGGAAGCGCTTTTTGCCGCCTGCCGTCGTCAGTACCCCTGCCCCTCAGCTGAGACCAAGTGACGGTCCTGGCGGGCCACTGCTCGCCTGCCCAGTCCCAACTACCGCAGCAGTCGCTGCTGCTCAACGAACGGTGACCTTGCCGGATGTTTGGCCCAGTGCCGCAGCCTACATGGAAAGCATGGCCTTGGCCGTCAGGGAGGAGGTTTCCCTCAGGTGCGTCGAGATGGTCTGTGTTGAGAATTGATCGGAGTATTCTGAGTGTGAACCAGCATGCAGTGCCCTGGGGTGTCCAGCTTGGAGCGCAGCGTCTCGGCAATCCTCTCAACATCCCCATCCCTTCTCTGCCTCAGGGTAGTGGAGGTGCTGCGCAACTTCCATGCGGCCATCGCCGCAGCTCCGCAGGACAGCGCTGCCCCACCGTCGAGCTTGCGCATGCATGGGCTGCGGTATTACTCGCCCTGCGACCTCATCAGCTGGGCACCCAAGGTGGGCTGCTGCTTGGGGGGTTGCCCTGGAGCAGCTTCTGAGTGCCAAGGGGGGCATGCCAGTCACACAATGAGAGTGAGGCAGCCTCGAGGGCTGTGTCCCACAACCTGGCCGTCCATACACAGCTTCCCTGTCCTGACTGGAAGAAGCCTCTGAACGCTCCAAAGTCCTCTACCGCACAGGCGTCTTCGCAAGAGATGCATCGCAGGGGCAAGCTGCAGCGGGCCTGCGCCGACGGGGGCTCTGACCTACCCTCGGAGAGGATGGCCGGGGCTTCCATCTGCCTGGTGCTGCCCAAGCAGCGTGGCCCTTCCTCCGAGTACCGGCGGGACGACATCTGGATCCTGAGCAACGACGCCTGGCTGGGCAGCAGGGCCGAGAGGGCTGGCAGGCCCATGGACCGCCTGCATGCGCCCTGGGTCGCTCTGGCCCGGAGCCTGTGGCATGGTCCCAACCAGGAGGGCAGGTGGGTGGCAGCATGGGTCACTGGCCGTGCCAGGGCAGGGTGGAAGGGTCGTCCATGGTGCCAGTACCACCCAGTCACGCCCTCCGCATGCATCCAAGGCGTCTGCCGCCCAAGGCCCCCAGCCCCCCTCACCACTCAGGCTGGCGATCGAGTTCCTGACGGATGCGGCCCCCCGCCTGGGTCGCCAGCAGACCGTCACAGCCCTGAAGGGCCCCGAGTGCAGCTCGGAGCTGGGCATGCTGAGCATGCTGTGCTCTCCCCCAGCCCACTCCCTGCCCCTGCTCGCCCCTCTCATGAGCCCACCCCATTGCATCGTGGGGCCCTCCGATCCAGACGCAGATGGGGCCCAGGGCCAGGCCGGACTGAATGCCGAGCAGCTCAAGGTGCTGCGTGTGGTAGCCTCCTGGCAGCTCCACGACGATGTCAGTGGGTGCACAGGGGTGGGAGGCTGTCCTGAGCAAAGGGATGGGCGCCGCCGGTGCCTCGGTGGCTGGCCCTGAGGTCCCCTCCCGCCTGCCTAGCTCCATGCCCACGGCGACCGATGTGGTTCCCAGCACCTCGCCAACCCCAGAACCCCCTGCTCCCAGGCGCCTGCCCCCATCTGTCTGGTGCATGGACCCTTTGGGTCGGGCAAGTCCACCCTGCTGGTCACCCTGCTGCGCTTTCTTCTGCGCGCCCGAACCGTGGCCGGGAGCCCCCTGGAGGGGGCACGCATTCTGGTGTCCAGTGGCACCAACGTTGCGGTGGACCGGGTGCTGATGGGTGAGCCCGGGGGGTGGTGACTCCCGCCAGGGTCGCAGCTGGTGCAGGGTGCAGCTTCGATGGTGGGGCCTCCCGGGTGCCTGTGCGAGAGGCTGGAGGAACTCGGCTGCAGGCAGGGCGAGAGGCGCCGCCGAGCGCCCCCTCCATGTCTCCTGGAATCCGCGCACAGGCCTCTTGGAGGCGGGGTGCACCGACTTCCTCCGGCTCGGTCCCCTGAAAAGGATAGACAGGCGCCTGCTGCCATACTCTCTCCACGCAAGGTTGGTGGCAAGGGGTCCGTTGCAGGGCTCAGCGCAGGGTGGTATGCTGGCAGGCCTGGCTGGATGTGGTGGAGCGTGTGAGAGTCCATACTCTGTGCTCACAGCCGGTCAGCTCATCCCAAGTTCCACCCCACCTGCCCCTGCTTGCAGCAAGACCAAGGCCACTGGAATCAGCGAACTGAAGGAGATGATCAAGGCCACGACCTCCCAAGCCGAAGCCTGCCTGCTGCGCGCGGAGCTGCTTGCCCTCGAAGCAGGCGCGTGGAGGGGGGAGGGGGATGCATGCTGTAGGTGGGTGGCAGTGGCTGAGGAGAGATCAGGCAAGCTCGTCGATGCAAACCAGACATTGGCTGCTGCATGTGGGCTAAGAGAATTCGCATTCCTGTGTCGCTACGCATCCAAGCTACCTCTCCAGGACCAACACATTCCTTACCTCTTCTTTCTTCCTCCTTGCTCATCTTCCAAGGCGCTGAGCGCACCCGGCGTCACATGCTGTCCACCGTCCCCATCGTGGGGGTCACCTGTTACTCCTCCATGCTGCCTGTCCTGGATGGACAGGTCTTTGCCGTGGTGCGAGGGGAATGGCAGGGGGATGATTAATTCCCTGGGTGAGTTCAGGAACCCACATTGATGTTTGGGTGACCAGGCGCATGTGCCATCCTACGCGCAGACCATCCTGGACGAGTGCAGCCAGCTGGTGGAGCCGCTGTCCCTGTCACCCATCATCCGCGCCCAGTCGAGGTGGGGCAGAGGTTTTAGTGGAGCTCATCTGGATGCAGCACTCCCACCACGTGTGATTGAGGCACAGCTTCACCAACTCTCAGACATGCATACCCCGACCCTGTTTTGCAGCACGAGCTCTCCTTTCCAAGTGCCTGATGCATGGCTCTTCATCGCACCTGCACAGGTACCTGATCGCGGTAGGCGACCCATTGCAGCTTCCCCCCATTGTCGCGACGCCCACGGCAGTCGCACCGGCCGGCGGCGAGGCCGGCCCCGCCTTGCAGGCCGGTGCAAGGCCCACAGCTCGCCATGGCCTGGCGCGGCCCATGTTTGTGAGGCTGGCGGCGGCTGGGCACCCAGTCCACCTCCTGCGCCGCCAATACCGCTGCCACCCAGTCATCTCCCAGGTGAGCTTTTACTAGTGTTCTCTGCCAATGCCGACTATGGGAATGGCATGAGAAGGGTGGCTCCCCCCCTCCCCCCCCCTCACCCCGACGGATTTCAAGCAGGCATATGTTTATTCTGAGGCAGCTGCATTAGCAGGCTGTTGCATGCTGTCAAGGGATGTAGGGCTCACCCCAGTGCACCGTACACCTCCCCGATGAAACCTCTCCACATCCTCCCTGCAGATTCCCAACCGCTGCTTCTACGGTGGGCAGCTGCTGGATGGGTGCAGCGCTTCCCAGCGCGGCCCCGTCCTTCCCGGCCTCCCCCCTCGCCTGTGGATCGACCCGCGGGGCGGCGAGAGCGGGGGCGAGCGGGGGGCCCGCAGCGTGACCAACCGCCGCGAGGCCGACGTCATATGCAGCATGGTGCAGCAGCTGCTGGGACATGGGGTGCCGCCCTCTGCCATCGGCATCATCTGCTTCTTCAGGGCGCAGGTGGGGGACATTGGGAGGGGGTGGATCGCCAGCATGCCGGCTGGTCGATGGGTGGCTGAGGTTGTGCATTGCTTGTTCGCTCCGAGGTTGTGCAAGGTCTGGCACAGCTGAACGGCCTTACGAACAGCCAACACCCTGGCAGGTTCTGAGAAGTGGGCAGCATCCTTTCGCTGCACGGCGTCGCACCAATTCGCTCGCTCACATCTGAAAAGCCTACCTTTCTGCAGGTGGCGCTGCTGCAGGGCCTGCTGAACCCCCAGCCTCCAATGAATGTGACTCCCGAGGCGGGGCAGGGCGTTGCACACGGCCCCTGCACCGTCAGCGAGGCGCCCCAGGGACCCCTTGCAGAGCAGGCGGGGGTGCAGGTGGCGACGGTGGATGCTTTCCAGGTGAGGGCTGGTCCGACGCTGGCTGTCCTCGGACGCTGGGCGCCGGCTGACACGATTCTCATGATCAAGCCAGCATGTCACACACCATGCTCGTCATGCAAGCCATCCCCCACCCCACCACATGCAGGGAGGGGAGCGGGACGTCATCATCCTGAGCACGTGCGTCACCCGGCCCTCCCACTTCGTGGGCGACCCGCAGCGGCTGTGCGTCGCCCTGACGCGTGCCAGGTGCCACCTCTTCCTGGTCGGGGTCCCCCTCGGCCCTCTCCCAGTCGGCTCCAGCCTTCCAGGCCCTGCTGGCCTCCTGCCACAGCCTGCCCGGCTGCTTCAGCACCACGGACCGCTTGCCCATCATGGAGGGGAGGCTTGCGGCTTGAGGCATGCTGGCACACGGCTGCACACACCGTAAGTACCCTCGGCAGTCCCTGCTGCTGTAGCACGGTGTCTATTCCAAATACATCCAGGATCGGCAGGAGAGAGCAGCAACTCATTCGGGTGCAACCGGAGCGGCATACGCCGACTGGCTGACGTATACGTGGAGGCAGGGCTGGCCCCAGGGAAGGGGCCCGAGCACCAGTCTGGGGAACTGGGCAGCTCTGTGACATGTCTGTCATCTCGTCCTGCAGGGGGCCGATGTGGGACGCACTGCTCAAGTCGAAACCATCACCCCAGGCTGGGGGCCTGGCCCACGAACCCGTCGTTGGCCAGCATCACGTTGCACACCGCCGCCGCGCTGACCAGCGCGGCCAGCTCGTCGGCCTCCTCCGCCTCTGCAGCAGGCTGCGCGCCGGGCGTGGCAGCCGCCGACCGACCGCTCCCCGCCCCCAGCTCCTCCTCCGTCTCCGTGTGCCGCGGCTCCCTGAACTGCGGGGTGGGTGGCCCAGCGGGACCCGCCGCGGGGGCCACCGCGGCGCCCGCGGGGCTGCCGGACCCGGCCGCCGCCCCCCGACGCACGGGCCGG